AAGCATGGAAATCTCATGTAAAAGAGGAAACTAAAAGTGAACAACAGGCACATTTTTAAAGGTTTTTCCCAGTCAGTGAAGGAACAAGGACCCCACAAGGAGTTAACACCCCTGGGTCAATGGAAAATGTGAATTTCTCCATTTGCTGTGAGGTCTAACAGTAAGGGCACTGGCTTCACATCTCATTCAGAATGGGACCCTCAACTGATGCATATGAAAAACAGAAATGAAAATGTATTTATCTGTGTTGCAGTAAACATGAAAGGAAAGGAAACAAAAATTTAAAAAGATCTGACAAGTTCATGTGGATGCTCTGCATTTAGCTCTTGTTTTAGAGCAACAGTCTGTTATGTTGGCTCCTCTACAGTTTAATGATTTCCTGTTAAGAATTTAAAATTAGAAGCCTCCAACAACTTCCCCATAAACTATTTTCAAGGTTCCTTTAATATCCACATCAAGGAGATATAGTAGGTTCATATGTTATCCATGTCAGTTCACTTCCTTCCCACTTCAAAATAAGCATATTGTGAGGAAATTCAGCAGGTTTTTATTGTTTTCTTGGAACCTCTTTTTCCACTAGCTATGCCCAGCTATAGTAATTTAAAAAATAAAGCTGTCCACAAACAAGCTCACATTTAACCCATAACAAAACAAGAACTGCTGGTCCAATCTGAAAATCCTAAACTGTGCCAGATAATGATCCAAAGCTTAATTTCCCATTGATGTGTTAGCTCAGATTTTCAACTCCATCCAATCTGAACTTCCTCTTTGTTACCACATGAATTTTACAAACAGCTTTTTGTTCTCTGTCAAGTATCTTACCTTTGAGAAAAGCCTGCAAACAACATTTTTTCACTGGCAGCACATTAAATAGATTCCATATTTTTCATCCAGGCTTTCCAGAACCATATTCCTGAAAAAGAAAAACACATATAGTACTTATTTATTGGCTAAGTCATTTGAGACAGGCATTAAAGGCAGAGCCCCTCTCAGTTCCTCACTGGGTCAGTGAGAGAGCTCCAAACACAAATCACCACTCTCCTGACAAAAATCACCTCCCACATCCACCCACCAGAAACACTCCTGATGTGAGCACTCCCTGATTGGTTTCAGTTACAAATGAGTCAGGTGAAGCTGCAGGTGGCTTAACCTGACCTGAGGCCACAGCAGTGGCAAAAAAGCAGCAGCAGGAGAGACAATTCTGTTACTTGGGTTTTAATGAACATACAACTCCTAATTTGGCTGAAGTAGAAATTTATGAGTACAACAGGGGAAAAAAACACCACCAAAAACCCCTATTTTCAGTTTGAAGCTCAGTGTGAGATAAAGGCAACTCTGTTGTTTTCTACAGTAATTTTCAGACCAAATTGATTTGTTAGTGATCCACCCACATCTGGGAAGGAATCATGGAATGGTTTGGGTTGGAAGAGACCTTAAAGGTCATCTCATTCTCACCCCTGCCATGGCAGGGACACCTCCCACTGTCCCAGGCTGCTCCAGTCCCTTCCAGCCTGGCCTTGGGCACTTCCAGGGATCCAGGGGCGGCCCCAGCTGCTCTGGGCAGCCTGTGTCACCCTCCCAAAGAGGAATTTCTTCCTAAAATCTAATCCAAACCCATCCTGTCAGTGAGAAGCCATTCCCTGTGCCCTGTGGAAGAGTTCCTCTCCCTTGCAGGCACCTCCAGGTGCTGGAAGCTGAAGCTTCTCTTTTCCTGAGCAATCCCAACTCTCAGCCTTCCATGGGAACAGCCTCTTCCAGCAGAGGGGAGCTTCAGTAACTCACTGGTGTCCAGAAATAGTAACTCAATACCAATATCTAGTTGGGATTTGGGATTTTTAAGGGTTTTGAGCTTTTTAGGGGGGGCAGAACATCACCAGGCTGCACTCCCACTCTCCTGAAATCCCACAACCACGTCTGCAGATGGAAAATCTCTTCCACATGAGCTCCTTCCACACAGGGAGCTCTGACAGCCCCAGAGGCTGTTTGATCTCTGAGGGCAGTTCAGCTTTTCTTTTTTACAACAACCACCATTAGATTTTCTTCCTACATTTACCCCTTGTGATCCCTGCCTGCATCCCCTTCCCCTGCAGTGCCACCCAGATGTCCCACACTCCAGATCCTGTGCATGTGAGGGGCTCAGGCACCCAGCTGCATCTTCAAACAGCTCAGATTGCAGCAGCCAGACCGACTGAAGGCTTTTCCCCAAACATCCATCCCCTCTCTGCTCTCAGGCATTGGCAGCTTGTGGAAAAGCCCTTTTCAATTTTCCTATTTCTCCATTAAAAAAAAAAAAAAAAAAAAAAAAGACAAAAGGAAAGAGAAAGATACCAACAAAGATAAGGATATCCATCAGAAGTGCTGCCAGCAAGCACTGGAAGGATTTTCCAACATCTGCAATGATTAATGAGTGATTGCATTAAAATAACTTATGGATGTGAAAAACGCATTATTGAATGGAGTTCTTTTGTTACTAAGCTCCCAATATGATTAAAGGAGAAAAATAAAAGGACTTAAACAATTAAACAAACATTACAACTAAGGAGGAACCAATTATTCAATAAAACAGTCTGCTATAACTCAGTTTTTCTGCTAAATCTGTTATTTTTATGCTTACCTACTATCTCAACACAGTGACTGAGGACCCCACCAACTCTCTGTAACACATTCAACAACAAAAAAACTGTTTGTGATAAAAGAGCACCAAAATGTTCAATATACAACTATATAAAAACATGGAGTATTAACAAAAAAAAAACAAGTGCTTATATATTTAAATGCTACCCCTATGTAGAGATTAAATTGCTTATGCCATAAAGGTTATTTTTCAGGCTCCACCAAAATAAGTTACAGACTGAATATATAACACACTCCAGAGAGGCTTTATATAACATTCTTCCTTCCTAGATGCATTTATTTCTTTTTCTGAATGGGCACCCTAGGTTTGTCTACAAAAAATTGCCAGGCAGTAGAAGGTGCAGTCTGGCTCATTTCTCAAAACACAGTAATTTATCAAGAAAATAAAGTCCACTACCACAGTGCTTGAGAAAGAGATTTACCTTCATTTTTTTTTAGAAGGCTTACTAGATACTTTAATTTACAATAAAATAAAGAGCATTAAAAGCTTTAAAAAAATAATTTTTGATATGCTAGCAATACTATTTCCTTCATGCATAAAAAAATATAAAACAAAACAAAAAACCCCACAATAACCAAACCCAATGTCTCTTTCCTGCTCTCAACAGACCTCCAACCTTGCCCAACCAGGCCCCTGAAAATAACTGAGCTAAATAGCCTCGACCCCTGGGGGGGCTAATTGCCAACAGGCTTCCCTCAGGTGAAATAAATCCTCATCAATTCAGAAAATACAAGAAAAACCTGAAGCCACTTAAAGGGAAAAAAAAAAAAAAAAAAAAAGGACAAAACAATCTTCCATGGTCTGTTTGTCACATTCCTTTCTTCCCACCCCATAACACTTCTTTGTGCAAGTAAAGGACAAAGAATAATGTCCTCTCACAAAACTGGGAGGAATAGCAACAACTTGGGTTTTAAAAACAACGTGCCCAAAGCAAAACAGCAGGAGATCTGCCTCCTATAATTTTTTTAAAATTAAAAAGAACAGTAGTAGTCCTATATCAGCTAAGAAAACACCAGCAACAGAAATTTCATATAATAATAAAATTTCTTTCATACTTATGATCATTATGTCCTGTAGCAGCAAACTCCAGGTGCCCAAACAGTGCTCACATGAGCTGCCAGCACACCTGCTGGTCATGGAAAGCCCAATGTTAGCTGGGTGTCAGCACAGGTGAGCTGTCAATGATATTTACGCTCTGTGAGAAGTTTGGGCTGGGTGGTGCTCAGGGTGTGAGGGTGATATTTGATCTTTGCTGCTCAGCCCCAAAAGATAAAGCCCCTCGGGCTGGTGTGGACTGTGGGGTCATGGGCAATTCTACCTCATCGCAGCTGCCTGTAGGGATTCACAGAATCCAGAGATTTGGAAGGAGCTTTAAAGCCCATCCAGTCCAAGGCAGGGTCACCTGCAGCAGGAATGAGTCCAGGTGGGTTTGGGATGGCTCCAGAGAGGGAAATTCCATTCGCTCCCAGGGCTTTTCCTCCTTCATACAAAGTTCTTCCTTGCATTGGGGTGGAACTTGTGTTTTAGCTTATGGCCACTGCTCCTCGTCCTGGCGCTGGGCATCACCGGAGAGAGTCTGGCACCATCCTCTGACAGCTCTGAGAGCTTCATTAGGCGTTAACGAGATCCCCTCTGTGTCTTCTCCAGACTAACCAGGCCCAGCTGGTTAGTCCTCATCAGGGAGCTGCTCCAGACCCTCCGTAAAACCCCACCCTACAGCGCTGCCCTGCTTCCCCCTCTGTTCCCTCATTCCTCCCTCACGATGCCCAGCACTGCTGCCACCGCTCAGGCAGGGCTCTGGGGTGTGAGGGGGAGCAGGCAGGGAGCTGAGAGCCCCGGAGCGAGATGGCGGGCGGGCAGGGGGATGAGAGCCGCAGGGCGTGAGGCAGAGCGGGCAGGGGGATGAGAGCTGTTGAACAGAGTAGGCAGAGCTGCGAGAGCTACGGGGTGTGAGTCGGGCAGGGCTGCGGGAGCCCAGTGAGGCGGAGCGGGCAGGGCTGTGAGAGCTGTGGGGCGTGAGGTGGAGCGGGCAGGGCTGCGGGAACCTCTGGGCGTGAGGCGGGCAGGGCTGGGGGAGCTGTGGGAGCCCCGTGAGGCGGAGCGGGCAGGGCTGTGAGGCGGGCAGGGCTGCGGGAGCCTCGTGAGGCGGAGCGGGCAGGGCTGTGAGGCGGGCAGGGCTGCGGGAGCCTCGTGAGGCGGAGCGGGCAGGGCTGTGAGGCGGGGAGGGCTGCGGGAGCCCCGCGAGGCGGAGCGGGCAGGGCCGCGGCAGCCGCGGGGCGCGAGGCGGAGCGGGCAGGCGGCGGGAGCTCCGTGAGGCGGAGCGGGCGGGAGGCGGCGGGGCGGGGGGAGGGAGGGAGGGGGGAAGGCGGCTCCGCACAGCCAAGATGGCGGCGGTGGAGCTGGAGTGGGTGCCCGAGACGCTCTACAACACGGCCATCTCGGCCGTCGTGGACAGCTACGGGCGGGCGCGGCGCCGCGACATCCGCTCGCTGCCCGAGAACATCCAGTTCGACGTGTACTATAAGGTACGGCGGCGGCCGAGCGGGGCCGGGCCCGGCCGGGCCTGCGGGACGTGGAAGGAGAAGCGGCCCGGGGGGCGGCCCGGGCCTGGCGTGGCCGGGGGCGCGGGGCTGAGGGGCCTCGCCGGTGCCGGGCACGGGCCGGGGGCTCAGCGCCTGTGGGGCCGCCCGAGCTGCGGCTGGAGGAGCAGCGGCTCCGGGCTCCCGCCGTGCCGGGGCCTTGTGGCTGCCCCCGGGAGCCGCCCCGAGGCCGCGGTGAGGGGCTGGGAGCCCCTGAGGGGGACGCGGAGCCGGGGCCTGGCCTGGGGGGCCGTGTGGGGAAGGTGCCTCTCGGCATTGTGAAGTGGTGCGGGCAGGATGAAGCCAAGCTGGCTGTGCTGGAATATGTTTTTTCCTTTTCTCCTTTTTTTTTTTTTTTTTTTGCAATAATGAATTGGACACGGTGATGTCAGTGGTTGAGGGAGCAGTTTGCTGTGGTCGAGTATAAATGAGCTGGTAGGAACCAGATGGAAAGAACTGACAGTTGTTTAATGCTGTAGTTTTATTAGCATTAAATTATTCCTTGGTGAAAGAGCTGTTCTTCGTTTAGCTGCCCTTGGAATATACGGATTTGGTGTAAAAGGTGCACTGAGATGCTCCATTAATTTCTTATTGTCCACTAAACAGGCATTTCATTCATGTGCAGGAACAGCTGGAAATGAGCATTCATCAGGGGAGAAACAATGTCTGTAAAAACCCCCAACAACCTACAATGAGGAATAACCTTTCTTTCCTCTGCCAGCAAATTTCTGAAAATTTAGGAGTTTTTAAATAAAGTAAATCTTTAGTCTAGTCTTTATGAACCAGGGGTAATGACCCATCATATACATGGAGAGCAGTAGTATTTACTGGAGACAGGGAAATTGCTTTTCAGGCACTGAAACAGACATGTGCATTTTCTGTGTCCTGGTTATTTCGTGTCTGCCTTAGGTGCTAAGAAGGATGGAAACCCATTTTTCTGACATATGAGCATGCTCACAGATAATGATGTGATTGACACATCAGCTAAAGGCTCGAGATATGAAAATCACAGTGTGGAAGAATATTTGGGGGGTGACTTTCAGCTGTTAATGACAAATAAACTTCTTTGGCATTGCCTGGTCTCACGCTCATTCAGGTGAGAGGATGGTGCTCTGTGGTTTTTAGAAGCATGAAACAAAACATCCTTCTGATGATAGAAATGTGCAAGGATGGGTTATTCCCAGCTGTTTAAAAACTTACCTCTAGGTGAGCTTAATAGATTACTGACTTTATGCTTTTATTGGTACTCTTCAGTGGTTGCTTTGAACCAGGTTCACGTGGAGTTGCTCCATGCTGAAGAGGATCCAGCAGCACATCTGATTTCTGAGGACACTCCAGCATGGTTCTTCTGCTGGGGTATCTGGTTTGTCACCTTGCTGGGCAGATGGTGATAGAGGTGATAAGTGCCTGTCCCCAAGTCGGTGTTTGTGTTGTGGGGGCAGTACAGCTGCTGTTAATGGCAGTGATTGCCTGGAGTCACAGCCTGGGTTGGGTTGGAGGGGACATTTGTGCCCATCTCGTTCCATCCCAGCCATGGCAGGGACAGCTCCCACTGTCCCAGGTGCTCCCAGCCCTGTCCAGCCTGGCCTTGGGCACTGCCAGGGATCCAGGGGCAGCCACGGCTGCTCTGGGCACCTGTGCCAGGGCCTCACCCACCTCAGACATCTTTTTCTAATTTAAACCTGTTCTCTGACAATTTGAAGCTTTTCCCCTTGCTTTTCCTCCAATTTCTGTGTTTCACAACAGGAGTTTTTGTCCTGTGTAAGGTGCACTGATATTCCTCTTACCAGCCCTCATCTCTGGGGTGTCCTCTCACAGAATGAACCGAACTGGGCCGTGCCTGCAGTGAGTGTTCTGTGGCTGTGGGAGCGGGCTGGGCTCCCACGGGCTCAGTGTCACTTTTCTGTGGGGGACAGCCAGCCTAGATGGGGCCTGCAGTGCCCTGGTGCAGAGAGTGGCATCCCTGGAACTGCTCTGGTGTCCCTTCCCTCCCAAAGCCTGCTGTGAGTCCCTGTGCACCTACAGAACCCTGGTGACTCTTCTTGGGTCTGTGTTTGGACACAACAGCATCAGAAGTGTCATTTGGGGTGGCTGAAGGAGGCTGGGCTGGGGACAGCATCCCCTCCCAGTGTGTGTGTGCTTGCTTTGCTGGTTTGGCTCTGGTAGTTATTTTGAATATCAGGTGGATGTTAAACCCCAGTTCATCATGGTGAGCCATATCCCATCTGTCCTGACCACTGAGTTCTTTAAAGCAGAATTTCCAAAGCTATTAACAGTCTTTGGAGTAAGACTAGAAGACTTCTAAATATTTGTTTGACTACATGGTGTTTGTTGCTGCTGTGTTGGAGGATGTCAATTGTTTGTTAGCATCCTGTATTACTTTCATTCTGTGATGAGTAAAAGGAATAAAAAATGTTTCCAATCTTTCATATAACTTGTAAGTAATAGTTTTTTATCTGGGTATTAGTCATAGTTTGTGGTACTTGAGAAACTGCCACTGATTTTTGCAAAAAAATAAAAGTCAGATTTTGTTTTGTTCTATAGATGTTAATTGTCTGTGGCTATACAAAAATGTTTTCATCATGTTCATTGGTATCAGTGCTTAACATTTGCCAGGCTTGCCCAGGTTTGCCAGCATGTCCAGGTTGATTCAGAAGCTGGAGGTGAGATCCCCCAGCAGAGCCAGTTGTGTGCTGCTCTTTAAAAGGGGAAAAATGCCAGCAGAGTCTTGGTGCTGTCCCCCAGGGCACCCTCTGCTCCAGGGTTTGGCTCTGTTCTCATAACTTACTGCCTGTATTTCTCACTCCTTGACTAATCCAATTTGTTTTACCTGTACATCCTCTAGGATTGATAACTCTGGGACTTACAAACCTGAGTGGGGCTGGGGTAGCTGCAGGATGTTCTTGTGGGTTCTGCTGAAGGTGACAGAGCAGGCAGGCTCCTCATACTGAGCATATTTATCTTTCTGGAGCATTCTCAACCAGTGACTAAAGCTCCAAACAAGGCACTATCAAATAATCATGATTGTGGTAAAACAACAAACCTGCTCTGCTTCTGCAGGGTATTACTGCATATCTCTCTTTTTCAAGCACTGTTTGACTTCTCCTTGCAACCATTAGAAAATTAAGAGGCAGAGCAGGATGCTTGTGAGGATATCCTGGAAATTTCCAAGCCTACGTTTGAGCTACAAAATGTTTAAAAGTTTTATTAATGGCAGCTGTGTTTTGAGGAGCGTAATAACCAGTATTGATACAAGTAACACCTGCCTCTGGGGGGGGGAAAACAAAAACGTGCACACATATCATACTTTGTTTCCTTTGGTTGTTTGCCAGGTTTGTGTGTATCCTGGTTGGGTTTTTCCTAGTTGAACTTGTTAGATTTTCTTGCTTGATTTTTTTGGGGGGGAGGATGAGAGGGTGTGTATGTTTTAGAGGCCAAAGAAAGAAATATGCTGGATCTCACATAACTCAGGCTCAGCATATGAACAAAATGCCAAAATTGTGTATTAAAAAGTAGTGACAGCTGGAATAAACTGCAAGTCCAAAAAAACCCCAACAAACCCAAAACAAAAGAACCCAATCAGCCAAAAAAAAACCATACACTGAAATCTCTGAAAAAATCAGCTTCTTATATTCTGTAGTTTGTTGGGGTGAGGATAATGTTTTGAGGGAGGCTGTTCCTATAAAGAATCAAGGTTGTTGGCAGAAGTCAGGTTTTGAACTCTCTGGTCAGTGTCTTGTACAGATTTCATTTTTTCCCTTGTGCCTCTGCCTTATACTCTATTTTGCATAATTATCTCATGGCTTTGGTTCTCAAGGTGCTTTGGTGCTTTAGTGTTCTCTGTCCCAGGTATTTGTGGCAGTTGCCCATTGCCAGCCTCATCTTGGACTTGGATTGGTGAACAAGGAGTTTGATCCCATGCTCATTTTCCTTTTGGAATGACTTTTCTGAATTGTGCGTTTCTCTTTCCTTCCAATTGATTTTTCTTGAAAATAATTTGTTCTTGGAACACTTTCTGGTGAGATCATTAACCACAGGAGCAGTCGGAGATGGCATTAATTTGGTTTCTGTCACGTTTAGGTATTCCTTGAACCAAAGAAAAGGAACAAGCAGGAATTTGCTGACTGTTGACAGCAGGCAGCAGAACGTTGGTTCTCTGCATTGCAGCAGAGGTTGGGTTCACTGATGGAGAATCATTGCAAGCACCATTCCTGTCCACTAGGATATAGCAGGCTTTGGCCTCCAGGGGTGTGGTGAGAGGGAGAAGGTGAACTCCCCCTGAAATGAAGAGTGGCTGTGCTGCTGCCTCAGTTCTGAGCTTCCCTGCCTGGGGAAGCACAGCCAAGGTCACAGCACAGGGTGTGAGGGGGGCAGAGCCCCCCAGGGCTCTGTGTGAGGGGGGCAGAGCCCCCCAGGGCTCTGTGTGAGGGGGGCAGAGCCCCCCAGGGCTCTGTGTGAGGGGGGCACAGCACCCCAGGGCTCTGTGTGAGGGGGGCACAGCACCCCAGAGCTCTCTGAGGGCTCTGCTCTGACCCCAGGGTGAGCTCCCAGGGACTGAGCTCCCCTGGCTCTGCTGAGGTTTGGGGTTGGGGGTTCAGTGTGTGTGTGGGAAGCAGGGATGGTTTCTCTCACGTGTGCAGCCTCTGTGTCACTGGTAGGAGCAGGGGGTGCAGCACTGCTGGGCTGCCATCAGATCCTTCCAGCACCTCTTCAATTAAAGCCTCTCACTGAAGGAAAATCATTACCTCATGAGTTTTTGCCAGTTATTATTATTAACACATGCCTTATTTCTGCAGTCTAAATTTAGATGTGAACTGAACTGTGCTTCCTTGTTATGTCTTTACTGGTTTGAAACTTCTTGCATTCGAACTTGTTCTACTCAGACTTTTTTATTTTAACCTCCAACCATGGGGCTCCTTTCCTCATCCTGGTGTCTTCCTTACCTTCCCAGTGACCTTGTTGAGTCTGAGGCACCAGAACCCATCATGATTGAGGTAATGAGGTCACATCACGAACAGAGGTGTTGAGCTCCTGCTGAACAATAATTCCTGTTTCCACTTCATTTCCTCTGGGCTGATTGAGCTCCAGGCAGGCTGGGATTTCCCAGTTCCTGAGGAGAATCACACGCGTGAGGCTCAGACTTTGTATTCTTTGTGGGACACAAACTGGCCCAGAGAGCAGAGCAGTGGGAATGTTTGGGGTGTGCAAGCATTGGGCTCTAGAAACTGTCTCTGATTTCATGCTGCTTCAGTGACATTGGTTTTTTCTTGGTTATTTATTTGATTGAGGTTTGTACAGATCAGCCTGGTGGCTGGCATTGTGCTTTCCAAGGAGAGCTGGAATTTTTTTTTTAATGCCTTGAACAATATCCAGTAGAAGCTTGTCCAGAGGATTTGTAGATGATTTTGAAATCGGTTTAAAAGCATGGAATGTACCTAAACTTCAAACTGATTGTTTTTGGTAATGAGGCTTTGTCACCAGATTGATTCAGTGAACTGTTGACTCAGGAAAACGTTTTCCTTCCTTGTGGAGTGGGGAAGGAAGATGTGGTTTCAGCCCAAAGCTTTCCCAAACTCTGCTGTGTGTTTAGCACACTGTCCTTCCCCAGTCTGGCCTGATACTCCATGGCATTATTGGGCATTACAAAACATCCTGGGGAGCTTCTTGGATTTCCTCTGTAATTCTTGCTGAAACATCCATGTTTATCAATCCCTTTCCAAACTGGAGCATCAGCAACATATTTTTCAAGTTGCGTCTTCTTCAGTTCCTCTTCTAGAGGATCCTTTTACAGCTGGCTGGAATTACCCCCATCTGCTTTAAAAAATTCTTTTTATTCTGTTTAGAGAAAGTTTGGTTGTTTGTTTTTTTTAGCTTAATCTACCCAGAGGGAGAAAGACAAGAACTTTAATAGAAAGGTGATGTAATAATAAAGTTACGAGTCAATGTCATTAATATGTTCAGCTGGGGACACCACAGTGTGCAGCTTTTGTCACACACCCACCTGGACATGCAATTCAGCATTCAGCCTTGGCTCCTCAGAAGGGCTGTGGTGAGTTTCTCACAGCTGTGCACAACAGCTGGATTGGGCAGGGTAATAATCCACCTGTATATTGAATTTATACCTCAGTGCCAGAACTCCTGTGTGAGCTGATGGAGCTGGGAGTCCCCTTGCAGGCTTTGAGTCATTTTTCCATAGTTAAAGAAAAATAAATCCCTGGTAGGTTCCAAATAGGTTAAGCTGATGTCTAAAAGACATTTCTCTCTTCAGAACAGAGTAGTTCTTTAGAGGTCCAAAGCTCAGTGTTCATGTCAGGGCATGTTTTTCTTGAATCACTGTTTTGTTTTGTTTTCATGTGATGTAGCAAGGCTGTGGTCAGGAATTCTGTCTCTCTGGAGCTTTACCAGAGAATCATTTCTTCAGTCCTCCCAACAGCTTCTCAATGAGTGTTACTGCATCTCCTGGAATTACTTCACAGTTTGACGTACACTCACTATTTCCATGTCAAATTTTGTTTGAAAATATTGCTGTAACAGCCACAACAGTTCCAAGAGGCTTCCAGCTGAGTTAATTCCTCAAAATGTTTGCCAGTATGTCGAGGGAAGGGGTTACAGGGGTAGGGAAAGTCCCAGAGATGTTGTATTTCAAGTTAGAGCAGTGAAAAATTGCAGCTTGGACTTTGGGGCCCGAGCCAAACCTGACGTGGGCCCGAAATTATTGATGTTCCAAAGCTGAGATCCTGTGGGACCTTCCCCCTCCCTGCCACCCCACCAGGCCATTTGCTCCTTGGCAGTCTCAGAGCCTCTTGTAAGAGGGATTCTCTCCTTACAGGAAGTGTTTATGTAACCTCATAAATATATAAGTGTTTCAATGTCTTACTGTGGTTAATTTTTGATAAACCAGGAATCTCTGGGATTTTGGGTTGGTACTGTAAGGTGATGGGAGGGAGTGATGATACTGTGCTCAGCACTGTGAAACCTGATACTGTTTTTGGTTCCCTTAAATCCTGCTCCAGTTCTTTGGGGATGTGTCTGAGCTTCCTCCAGAAACCATCTCATCAATTATTGATGGCATGCCCACCTTCCCTTTGAGCATGGAATACCAGGCAATTTAAACAGCTGCTTTTTGGGTTTTTTACTGCAGAATGCACATTTTAGGTTTTATAGAGCATTTGCTATGAGACAGCTGTGCTGAAGGAATGAGAACATTTAACCATGGCTGTGGCTGTTAAATACAGCAGCCTGGCTGCTCCTTCAGTGCCAGAGAGAATCCAGCAGGAGCTCTGATCCCTTTGAAGTGCAGGGACACGCTGCTTTATCTGAGCTGGAACTTTGCATGCAAACTTGCTCTGGTTTTTAAAAGACTTCCCTTTTTTTTTTTTTTTTTATGTTCCCTCAGCAAAATAGATAACGAAGAGGAAAACATTAATTTCTGACAATTGACATTATTAGGTCAAAGTATTTTTGAAGTTTTTTTTGTAGGTTGTGTTAAAATAACAAATTTGCTGTGCTCTAGAGCCGATGTTTTGTGCTTTTATAAGAGTTGACTAGAACTAAATTTCTGGCTGGAGATGTTCTCACGTGCTGTGTTTGGAATATGAATTCATCAGCTCCCAGTGTTTGTGGAGGAAAAGGTGAACCAGGCAGCAGATGCTTATCACTGGAAGCATTTGAAGGCATTATTAAAACTGGAGGAATATGAATGTTTTCATTAAAGCACTGCTGGTGCCTGTGGCAGGTGTGGAGTGCTGCTTCCTTGGGTCATCTCTGGGGCAGGGCCTTTCAGATAATGGGAATTAATAGTTCACAATGGATTTCTGACATTTATTTGCACAGTCCCTCTGTACCTGTGTAAATCCATGGCATTTATAGCCTGATGTGGCAGAACTTAACCATGCACTGCATGGACAACACTCTGTGCTTTGTTGTGAGCAGCTCAGCTGATAAATTCACTTATCTGCAGGCACAAATCACTGTGGGCATTAAACAAGCAGTGCTTTGAATAAATGCATGAACAGGCTCCATTTTCCCATTTACTGCTGGGGGCGTCACCTGTGCAGCTCAGGTGTCATGGGGAGGGGCCGGTGCCTTCTGTAGTGCTGGCATTGGTCAGTGGCCTCTTGCAGAACTTGTGGGTTTGGGTTTATTTTTATCTGACATATTTGCATTGCTGCATCCTGGCTTGTGTGTCATTTAAACTTGTTCTGAGAGCACTTGGTATCAAAACTGCCAATTGGATTTGTCTTGGATTTGTAGCTCATATGTGGCAGTGCTTTGGTGTTGCAGGGCACAAACACCTGGAAATACATCCATAGATGAAAAAAAAACCCCAAACCTTAAAAACCATCTGTGGACCTCTCATAGCTCAGTTTTTAACAAAATAAATTGTGCTCCTGAGGTGAAATCTTCTGAGACAGGAACTTACTTGTTACCCTGCTGAATTGCAATGCTTTAAAGTCTAGATTTCATCTTAAGTTCTCTGCTAGTGAGCTGAGTTTCCCAGAAGAACTCAATCTTACATATTAAGATAAATTTCCCTGGTTTTTTTCAGCTTTACCAACAGGGCCGCTTGTGCCAGCTGGGTAGTGAATTTTGTGAACTAGAAGTTTTTGCAAAGGTGCTACGGGCTTTAGATAAAAGGTGAGTATCTCAGTAGCTCAATAGTTCTCATTTCAGCTCTCAATCTCTCCATCTAGGAAGAGATGTTAAAGAAGGGCACAAACAAGAAAAAGCAAACGATGCAAAACAAACCCCCCCAGCTGCTCAACACCACAGGTCATGCCCAGAGTCCCTGGGAGCAGCAGTCACAGCGCCCATTTCCTGCTGATTTAGCAGATCCTGAGGGAAGCTGATAGGGTTGCCCCAGTTTGAAGCGTTTTCCTGTCATTAAATATTCCAATTAGTGGAGTTACAGAACCTGACTGTTCTAGATCAGGTTCCGTGGAACCGGGCTGAGTTCTGAGGCTGCCGGCCCTGGTCCCGCCCATGGCTGTGTGATGTCAATGGAGCCATCGCTGCTGGTTTGTCGGGAGGGCTGGGGGAGGGACGGGGTCTGGAGCTCCTCCCCGGTGACTCTGAGCTGGGAACTCTCCAGTTTGGGTCCTTGGGGACAGCTCGTGTTGGGCTCCCACCGAGGGTGTCCCTGCACAGAGCCTGGTGTGCATCACCCAGTGCCTGGGCTCCATCGGCTGCAGCCTCACAGTGGGCCTTGCACTCAGCTGCTTTGGGTTTGAGGGGGCTTGGGCTTGATTTCTGTCCTTGGGATTCATGAGAACCAACTGACTGCTTTCAGACCTTCGTGAGTAACCAAACTCTGCCTGTCTTTGCTGCAGACATCTGCTCCACCACTGTTTCCAGGCTCTGATGGACCATGGAGTCAAGGTTGCTTCTGTCCTGGCCTATTCCTTCAGCAGACGGTGCTCCTACATTGCAGAGTCAGATGCTGCTGTGAAAGAAAAAGCAATCCAGATTGGCTTTGTCTTAGGTAACTGCTGCTCATGGGCTCTTTGCTTTCTCTCTTGCAAGTTTCAGTTATTGTAACATTAATTTTTTTCCTGTTAAAGATAGGCCTTTTAAAGAACTGTGTGTTTTGGAATTGAATTTTTAGAAAGCTACTTGGTGTCTGAAAATAAATGTATTGGATTTTAACATCTAAGAATGTATAGACTTTGTAATTCCAATAGTTTAGGGTTAAAATTGGCTTGCAGATGTGATGAGGAATTTGCATGATTTAGTGCAGGTAAGTTCTGGGGTTTTTGGACAGAAATGTAGGAAAACTCTGTAATATCAAAAAACCATTCTAAACCAAAGTATTATTTCCTTCAGCTGTAGGAGAATTCTCCTCTTACATTTCATCCTTTCCAGGTCAGGAGGGTTTGACCTTGACAGGATTTCTGTCTGTTGGAGCAGGTCCATGAAATAAGTGATCATCTTGTAAGACCTGAACAAACCCTTTTTCTCTTGAAAACGAGTTTTACTCTTCAAATTGGTGTTTGTTGCTGATTTTTGCAGGGGGGTTCCTGTCAGATGCAGGCTGGTACAGTGATGCTGAGAAGGTTTTCCTTTCCTGCCTTCAGCTGTGCACCCTCCACGATGAAATCCTTCACTGGTTCCGTGCTGTGGAGTGCTGTGTGAGGTGAGCTCACCTTGAATTCCCAGGAAACCTTGGAGCCCTCCAGCTCCAGGTGCTCCTTTGGTGTTCTGCTGCACCAAACACTTTCCTGGCTGGAGCTGGAGATCAGGAGGTGCTTGTTTTACACTAATCCCTGGATTTTCAGCTTCTAAGTTGGCAGCACAGTACAATGGATTAAAAACCCAATGTTTTGCTATCCTGTGTAATCTCTCATGAGTAACACTGCTGGATAATAAGAGTGGCCCAGCAGTTCTTGTTTCCCAAGGATTTTTGCACGTGAAGGAATGTTCTGTGTTGGACTTTGCTGAAGTTCTGTTTACTACAAAGAGAATTGGCCAAATCCAAATGCAAACAACACAGATACAATTGAGCAGAAATAAAGACAAAATTTCCCTTTCCTGATTCCAGATCCAGCAAGTTTTCTTGCTCCATGCTGAGTGCTTAGCTCTGTGCCTGGGAAAAGATCTGGGTGTCCAGTTCCTGTGGGCACCTCTGGCCACAGCTGAAAACATTTGGAAAAGTTGGGATTTTTTTCTGTTAGTTTTGAAGCTGCCTTGTTCCTCAGGGCCTGCAGAGGTTCACATTTCATTGACAGAGCCTCTGTTGCTCTTCCCCTGTGTGTTGAGGTGTGATGAGCTGCAGGCAGGAGCTGGCTGGGTTTTGTTGCTCTCCCTGTGACCAGGCTGGTTTTGCCCACTCCAGATGTGTCTGTGGGCACCTGGAGGCTGCTGGGCAGAGTTAAAGTAGGATTTATTTTTTTTTTAGCAGCTCTAACAAAGAACAAAGCATGTGCTGTATTTGTCTGAATCTAGAGCAAAACTTGTTTGGAAAGTTGCTCCAAAAAAAGCCCTGCATCTTGTTTATGGTTGGGCAAACACGAAGAGTGGAGAGGCTTTGCCAAGAGCTGCTGATGTCCTGTGGCAGCCCAGGGCCATGGCAGCGCTGCCCTGCCTGGTTCTGCTGGCTGGCATTCCAGAAATGGTGCCAGGAGCCTGGGCACACAAATCCCAGAACTGGGGAGTGATGGACATGGAGCCACAGTCACTGCTTGGTCCTTTGCCTTCTAATTAATCTAAAAAAAGTTTTCTCGTTACATCAGGCTCTTTGGCAAGCTGGAGAAGTTGCTTAAAAATAACTGTCACCTTCTGCAAATAGAAATGAAAAGAAGGAACAGAAAGGGAGGGGAAAAAAGAGAACTGTCTTTGCTGGACAGTAGTGTGGAAAGGAGATTTCGTTGTGTGCAGGAGAAAGCAGCCTGGGTTGGGCTGAGCCCTCCTGACCCGGGGTGGTGTGAGAGACTTCCATTGTTCCCTGGGGAGCTCTGCTGGGACATCACCCTCTGGGCAGCAGGAAATGTTCTGGCATCTCCCAAACCCTCAGCATGGCTGGTTTGGAGTTGTATCAACCTGAAAGAACTCAAACACGTTGGGAAGGGCTAAATCTGTAAAATCTGAACACCTCTGTGTGGCAGAGAGCAGTCATTAGACTGATTTTTCTGCCTTTCAGCTTGAGAGTAAGTGGTGCTGTAACCACCTGATCCCACTGCAGGAGGCTCTCACACTGGAGCTGGGGGAGTTTTAAGGAAACAAAATTCAAGTCCAGCTTTTGAAAGTATGACACTTGCTCTGGCAAGCCAAACCTCTGGGAGTTGAATTAATGCATTGCACTATTAATAGAACACAGTTTAAAAATGTGTGAAGTTTTGTGTTGTTTAAGCACAACTTGGTGTTTCCTTGTCCTGGCAGTGGTAAATGCTGTGGAGAAGCTGGGAAGGTGTGAGGTTTCTCTGGGCTTGTATCCTGCTTTTCTGGAGTGTGGTGCTCCTTTGGTTTGCCTCCTCTCATTATTCTGTGTTGAACAAAGAGGTACAAGTGCATTACACAAATACGTGGTTCTCCCACTTCATTGTTGCACATTTGGCTGATTCCGGGATTGTTTTCTTCTGGTGGTTTTAGACTTGCTAAGCTGCCGTGTTGGCTCTGAGACTGGGTTTGTTGGGGGAGGTTAGGCCCCAAAAGCTGTTATTGCAGACATCAAAGGAGCTTCAGAGCCATTAGCATAAACGTCCTGAGGCCTCTTCTCTTCCTCTTGGCTTTATCTCCTAAGATTCCTTTGGATTAATAAAGGATTTTTTGTTACTCAGAACTGGATCACATAAACTCTGCTTATCCTAGAGGATTGGCTTAGGTTTAGCTTGGGTTTTGGGGAGATTTCTTTGTTTCTAGACACTATCACTGAAGCATCCAGACACTGGATATGATCTTTCCCAGGAGCTTATCTAAATTGCAGTGCTATCCCCACTGGCTTATTCCATTACATGGGATTTGGGCTCCGTGGTTTTGATGTTGCAGAGCAGCTCCCAACTGAATGGTGTTGGCAAAATGGTTTTTTCTCTTTAGGAAAACTGTTTACTTAATTCTTCTCTCGTTTCTTTATAATTCCTGTCTCTTGTTGCTAGAATGTTCCTGTGACCAGGCACACAATGCACTTGTACGTCGTGTTTGCTTCTGGGGCTTTATTTAAGGGAAAATGTGGGTGTTGCTTTTTGCTGTCTTGTTGTTGAGCCACGGTGCTGGTTCCCACTGGAGAGCTGGAATTTGTGTAGCTTTTGCAGGGTTTTGAAGGGCTTTGCTTTTGATGTTCTCTTTGTGCAGCAAATCCACATCTGTCATGTGCCTGCCTTCAGGCCCTGCTCAGGAAAATGGAAACTTTATTTCCTTTCTTGTTACTGTTGGGGTTTGGTGCTGCATTTGGGTGGGAAATGGAGGGACAGTGTTGGACAGGCAGTTCCTAGGATGAGCTGAGCTGTATCACTGGGGGAATGGCTGCATAGCTTACATCTCTATTTGGGACAAGTGAAAACAGGTTTAGGAAAGAAATCGAGCAAAATTTTCATTGTTTGCTCCTTGTCCTTTAACAATTGATTGGGAGTTTTATCCCAATGTGTGATATCAGGACTAAAATGCTGTTCCTGTAGAGTCAGAGTTTGGGCCTCTCTGCAGTGCAGCCTCACTTTGTGCTTCCCTTCCCTCTGTGCAGTTCTCCCTGTGCTGTGTTGCCCTGATTTCCCCAGCCTTGCCTGGTGTGTTCAGTCTGTTACTCACTGTCTAATGACACATTTCACAGTGGAGTTAATTCACCACAATTCCATGTCTGCTCACTGGCAGGTGTTTGCCATGGAGCAGGAGCAGCTGCCCTGGCTGGGAATCCAGCTCTGCCCTTGGGGCTTGGAATATCAGCACACACCCATTCCAAATGCACCTCGTTACAGCCAGGGAGCACCAGCCTGCTCTCATGCACAGATTCTTTGGTTTTATTTGCAACAAGTGCCACAAGCTGGAATTGTTACTTCAAAAAGGGGGAGGCTTCACCAGTGCTGGGTGTTACTGGCTGTGTTTGGGTGTCAATCCTTCAGATGGGAAGGCAGCAGCATAGCAGAGGGAAGAGCAGGGGATGTTTGCGTTGTTGTGATCAAGGAAATGGTCCCTCCTGGTGGAGCTGGTTCTCATGTGGAATGAATGTGATGAAATCTCACATGAAAACCTCCCCCAAGCCCCAAAGCACAGAAATGCCCATTTGGAGCTACTCAGGGTTTGGGGGAAGTGCAGGGATGCAGGAAAATGAGCTGTGGTGTACTTACTGTGGCTGCTTGGGGTTCCACCCTTTGGGAAGGAGGTGGAAGGGATCTCAGGCTGTGTAGGGCAGGGCTTTGGGAATGGAATCTCATCACTATTGGGAAGAGTAGATTTTATGGAAAATTAACACACAAAGTCACCACATCAGAGTGGTTCAATACGAAACTGTATCAATAGGTAAAATCCTGTGGCATCTCCAGCAGGAGAAATTCCTGCCCTGTGCCCAGGCAGGGCAGCTGTGCTGGGCTGGCAGAGCTCCACCCTGGGAGTGTCCCTGAGAGATCCCTGGTGCTGCTGCAGGCAGAGCCTCTCCAGCTCCCTCAGCAGCTCCCTCTGCATCCCCAAGGTTGCTGCACGTCCGGAACGGGAACTGCAAGTACCACCTGGGAGAGGAGACCTTCAAGCTGGCGCAGTCCTACATGGACAAGCTGGCCAAGCACGGGCAGCAGGCCAACAAGGCGGCGCTGTACGGCGAGCTGTGCGCGCTGCTCTTCGCCAAGAGCCACTACGACGAGGTGAGGCCCTGGGCTCCCTGGCACTGCCACCTCCTGGGGGTGCTGCACTAGCCCTGGTTCTGCTCTCCTTGGCACCTGTGTGGCACTGCCAGAGCCATAATTCATTTATCCACTCCTGTTTCCATGGGTTGTTCTGTGTTAGGCTGTGAGCTCTTCACAGAACTTGGACCAACATGAACATGCAGGTGTTACCTTGCCTGTATGTGTTGGTCACCTGTAAAGGAAATATTATAAAAGCTTATTTTAGTAATTGAGAATGAATAGCAGAACCTGGTTTGTTATACTCTCTCTGAAGTGTAACTACTCCATAAACTGGTTTTCCTTTAACCCCTAGGCTCACTGAGAGGGTGTTGTCCTGCACAATGGGAATTGTGAGGATTGCTTAATGATTATAAAATATCCTGTTCTGTCTGTAAAAGTCATTGTAATATAAGCCTTAGATTAGTATAAAATACTTAGATATTCACTATTAACCTTGAGAGTGGTTTTTAAGCCTGTCTTTGAAGGCATAGCTGGACAATTAATTACATGTAAGCACTCAAACTGCATATTTTAAATTTTGGAATGTAAATGACCAGCTTTTCAGAGGCAGGTAATATTTTACTGTTGCAATGTTGTGAAGTTCCAGCTTCCATTGTGTTGGTGCCTCTCTGTCCCACAGGCCTATAAGTGGTGCATAGAAGCCATGAAGGAGATCACAGTTGGGCTGCCTGTAAAGGTGGTGGTGGATGTGCTACGACAAGCGTCAAAGGTGAATCTGCAATCTCCCCTTTGCTTTGGGTACCAAATTAGTGCCAGGAATGGCTGAGGAGAGGTTGTTACCTCCAGAATTCTCCTCAGGGGCACTAAGGATTGTTGTTTGTGTTTGTCCCAGAATGGATGGGGGAGTTTGTTTCTGTTTGTGTCTCTCTGAAATGGAGTTAGAGCTGCACAGGGGACCATTGTGACAATGTTAACCTGTGAACTTCCCTGCAAGGGCTCTGACCTCTCTTTGGTCTGGACTGGGTACAGCACAATCCCTTCAGCCAGGCAGGATAAAATCAGTTTATTAATGCTGTGCTCCTTTTCCTAAATAACCAAAAAGTCTTTTAATAACCACAATGACATTTTGAAATTAAAACCAAGAGTAAGTGTGGCAGTGTCTGGGGCTGAGCTGTGAGTGCTCAGCTGCTCACTGCCCCCCTTCCCCTGCCCAGGCCTGCGTGGTGAAACGGGAGTTCAAGAAGGCAGAGCAGCTCATAAAGCACGCCGTGTACCTTGCCAGGTAAGGGCCATTCCAGAAAAACCCTTCTGAAATTGTGCTCAGCTGGCCTCAGTTTGTGATGCAGGTGTGTTTGTGCAGGGAGCATTTTGGAGCCAAGCACCCCAAATACTCTGACACGCTACTAGACTACGGATTTTACCTGCTCAACGTAGACAACATCTGCCAATCTGTTGCCATCTATCAGGTAGGCAGCAGGACTTGTTTCTCTTGCTGGTTTTCATCTCTCAGATGTTGTAGTTAATTCATGGGGATAGAGAATAGTTGATTTCTACAATCATGATGTTTTAAAAAACCCCAAACACTTCCAACTATGGGGTTTTGCTTTCTTTGTCTTCCTGACTCCTGTCTTTTATATAACTAGTGTCTCAAATATGTAGAGAATTTCAGAGCCAGTAGATTCATCATAGAGATGAATTTGGGGGTTTTTTTTCTGTGTTAACTGATGAAATTGTGGTTTTGGACCCCTTGCAGACAGCGCTTGATATCCGGCAGTCGGTGTTTGGAGGTAAAAACATCCACGTAGCCACAGCTCATGAAGACTTGGCTTATTCTTCATATGTTCACCAGTACAGCTCTGGCAAATTTGACAATGCACTGTGAGTACAGCACACAGCAGCACAGTTAGTGCTGTAAAATGAAGAAAAATATTTATTGCAATAATATTTCTAATTTTTTGTCAATCAACTGCTGGCATACATAAACAGATCCTGAATTTTTTATTTCATCTCTCCCAGATTCCATGCTGAACGTGCTATTGGCATTATCACTCACATTCTCCCAGAGGACCATCTCCTCTTGGCCTCTTCAAAGAGAGTTAAAGGTAGTTCCCTTTGTTGTTTGAACCATTTGGTTGTGCCCATCCTGGTCCCTCCCAGGCAATGCAGCTTGAGTTGTCTTTTTCAGTGGAGGTGTTTGTAGTCCTTGGTGTTTAAAGCACACTTGTAACAAAAAAAAAAAACTTAGGCAGATGAGTTGGAGCGGGAAAAAAAATTATAGAATATAAAAATGTACTGGGAGCTCGACACAGCAGCGTGCCAGACACAGAGCCTGGTGGGCTGGGTCCCCTGGCTCTGAGCTGGCCGTGGGCACAGTAACAGTTCCTGTCTCCTGCCCCCAGCACTTATCCTGGAGGAGATTGCCATAGACTGTCACAACAAGGAGACAGAGCAGAGGCTGCTCCAGGAGGCTCATGACCTGCACCTCTCCTCGCTCCAGTTGGCTAAAAAAGCCTTTGGGGAGTTCAACGTGCAAACAGCCAAACACTACGGCAACCTGGGCAGACTGTATCAGTCCATGAGGAAGTTCAAGGTAAGACTTTACTCCTGACCTAAAATCTGCAAGACCCCTGAAATCTGTCACTACAAATGAGGGGTTTCAGTGTCCATCATTCCCAAGTTCAGTTGGTAGTTCTGTGCTTAGAAAACTTGTGCTTTATCATTCACCCCAAAAGCAAAAATAATCCATGGAGGTGGGTGATAGCCTCAGAGGGTGACAGAAAAGAATTTGGAGAACTTGGTTTATGTTTGGCTTTGTTACTTTTTGCCTGTTACAAAATGCTACTGTTTGAGCTGCTACATAGTTAAGTTGATTTAAACAAACTTTCCCCTCTTTCTGTGGGGTGGTGAGTGGTGTCTGACCTGTGTGACTCTGCCCTGACAGGAAGCAGAGGAAATGCACATCAAGGCCATCCAGATCAAGGAGCAGCTCCTAGGGCAGGAGGATTATGAAGTTGCCCTCTCCGTGGGCCATCTCGCCTCCCTCTACAACTATGACATGAACCAGTATGAAAATGCTGAAAAGCTTTATCTGAGATCCATAGCAATTGGTGAGTGACTACAGCAAACTTAAGTTTTTAGAAAGTAACTTTACAGTTAATCTCTAGACAACATTCTGTGGCTAGAACATGAGTGGAGAGTGTAGGCAAATTTTATTGGTAAAAATAACCTGATAACCGAGATGCAGCCCATGGAGATCTTACCTCTCAACTCGGCTTTTCTCTTGGGTTTCTCTAGGAAAGAAGCTTTTTGGTGAAGGATACAGTGGACTTGAATACGATTACAGAGGTCTCATTAAACTGTACAATTCCATTGGCAATTATGAGAAGGTGTTTGAGTACCACAACATTTTGGCCAACTGGAACCGGTTGCGGGACCGGCAGTTCTCGGTCACGGATGCGCTGGAGGACGTCAGCACCAGCCCCCAGTCCACGGAAGAAGTGGTCCAGTCTTTTCTGATGTCTCAGAACCTCGAGGGACAGAGCAGCTAAGAACTTGGTCAATTAACCAGTTAAGGTTTTTTCCCCCAGGTTACAGGGGGAAAAGTCATACTGTGAAATCTAAACCATGTAGTTCTCTGGGGGCTGGAATTTGCGTTGAAACACTGGTCCAGTCTACTGAAGAGTGCCCATACGGATGAATGTGTGTTAAATTCCTCTCAGCATGTGTATGGCATGTTTAGTTCGGCTCACATTTTTAACTTGGTATTCCCAAAAAACCCCCTTCTCTCTCTCTTCTTTCAAAAGAAGCTACTTTGCAGAAAGTCTGCAAGAAAACATTAAATAAAACTGTTTGAGTTCAAAAGAGTTGCATTCTTATTACGGATGGAAGGTTTCATCGAGAGCTTTCTGCTGATTGACAGAACAAAAGCTGTACTCTGAGGAGCTGTAGGAGAAAGGTCTTGCTGCTGTATCATTGTAGCAAAGTTCGTGGTAAATAGCCAGCAAAGGGAGATGTGCTGGCCTTGGCTGCTGCCTTACCAAGAAAAGTGGCAAAGACCCACTCTGGAGAGCACCATCGCTCATTGAGTGCCAGCTGTGCTGTTGTGGATGCCCTGAACTGGACCAGTACAGATCCCACAGACCAGCAAGCACAGTGTCCTCGGTGCCACCACCAGTGCTCCCCTGAGCAGGACCAGGACACCACGGTGGACCAGCCTGCTAGAGACCCGTTTTGGACCAGTGGCTTTAATTTAATATTTCTGCCCCTGCATTCACTTTGACAGTAGAACTCTCTCATTTAGGTGTCTGATCAGTGCAAATGATATCCATGTGATAGATCCAGAGCTAGGAAGTGAATTGATGGTTTGTCTGTACCCAGTGAGCTTCTGCAGAGATTCCTGGCAGTGCCACAGCTCCACCCTCTCCCTCTGCTGCAGCCGCTCCTCCTTTCCTCTCCCATGGGCTCTCTCTGCTACCAGAGGCCATACTGTGTTTATACCAGTGAAGAGTTTTGTATTCCAGTCCAGTTCCATTTTCCGTTTCTGGAGAACACAATTTACTGTACAGGTCGCAGGGGTCAGTGAAAATGCCAAAAAGCACAACAGGTCTTTTTTTTTTTGTGATGCTTCATTTCTACATTAAACAAGAGTACAACCAGAAACCGATTCCTTACGTTAATTTACGAAGCAGAGCTCAGCTGTACAGACCCTCTGAGAATGCCTCTCTCACTAGCTTGTCTTAATTCTTCTTCTGTTGGGGGCTGCATGCTTGTGTGGGTTTGGGTTCAGGTGTTGTTTTGGGGTTTGTTTTATTTCCTAATGTTGGATGAGATTTGCAAGTCTGTGTGACACAAACTGGAACCGACTCGCTGCTGTTACCTCAGCTGTGCCCTGGATCTGGGATTCTGTGGCTTCTGTCACTTTGGGGGTTTCTCTCCCCCTCTTTTCAGGGTTTGTACCTTGGCCAGTCCTGCAGGGCTGGGACTGGATGTTCTGTTTGGGGTCTGGTTTTTGTTGGTTTATGGGGTTTGTGGCAGGGAAAGCTGCTGGATGATCTTCAGGGAAGAAATAGAGGTTTTGGACATGACTTGGAGCTTAATGGCTCTTCTAAGTGAAATTTTACAGGCCAATAGTTCATATTCTGGTGCCTTCAAGTGTTTTTTTTGGGGGGGGAAAAGCTGGGTAATATCAACTTTAAAATGCAATGACATAATTAGTGAATGCAGATTAATGATTGCATATTTAGAATATCTTCACTGAGGTGAAAAGAAGTATTTGCATAAAACCCCCTGTGGTATTAGGATTTAACTGCAGTGTGTCTGCAACAGCTGCTCAGTGAAAATCCAACTTAGTTATGTGTGGATTTAAAATGTGATTTATTTATAGCAGTTTTTGTTTATGACTGTGTAGGAGCTACAGACAAATTCAGCTATACAAGGCAAAACCTTCTCCCTGAATGCCCGTGGCACTGACAAGTTATAAAGTTCTTACGAGTTCTTAAATCCTTTTAAAAGGTATTTAAAGTTTGTAGCAGTGTCAGGACCTGGGCAGGAACGTGGCTTAAAGCTGTCCTGGAGAACCTGAGTGATTCTGTGCTGCAGAAGTGTTGGGGCTCCCAGCCGGGTCTGTGGGTTTGCACTGACCTGGCTGGAGATCATTTACCCACTCTGCTCCCAGTCCTGGGCTCTGCAGCTTTTGGCCAAGGAGCCCCAAAGGTGTTTGGGGTGAGGAGCATTGTCTGACTGACAGCAGTCCCTGCCTGCCTGAGCTCCTGCTCCAGCCCTGGCTGTGTCCCTGCTTGTGGTTTCATTCAGGTCGGGGCAGCCTGGGCAGGAGCTGTGCTGGCCGTGCCTGCGTTGGTTTGTTGGTGTCCCAGTCCCAGCTCTGGTGGCTGTCCCTGTGTCCTTCCCAGAGCTGCCTCAGCGCTGGCAGGAAGGGGAGGGAGGTCCCAAAGCTCCCTGGGAGCCCCTTTGGCAGAGCCCTGGGCCAGGGGCTGTGGGGGTGACCCGGGAGGGCTCCAGGGTTCTCCTGTGCCTGCAGGGAGCCCTGCCTGGGGCTGAGCTGCCCCTGCAGCTCCATGGGGCCAGGGCAGGTCCCTCCTGCAGCAGGGCGGCTGTGGCTGATTGCTGACACTGCTGGGCAGGGGGTTGGCAGGATGATGCTGCAGGGACAGCACAGGAGTGACCCCGGGGGGGGGTTTGGTTCTGTCTCCCAGGTGGAGCTGTTGGAAGGTTTGTGTTGGCACCTGGAGCCTGTCTGGGATGCTGTGCTGCTGCTGTTCGTTGCTCTCTCTGCTCCCACAGTTTGTTTGGTGCTGTTGAGCACTGGGAAGCTGCTGGGATGGTGCCAGAGGCAGGTCAAGGACTCGTTGGGGTGGATCTTGCAGCGAGAGCCCGGTGCTGCCCCACTCTGCCCTGGCAGGGCCTGCAGTGCCCTCTGCTCCCCTCTGGGGTTTTCCAGCACCCCGTGGCTCCTCTCTCCCTCCTGCCCTAGCCCAGGGTGGGTTTTCCATGGGTCAGTACTGGGGTGGGGGCCTGGCAGGTGGAACATCCATCCAGGAAGGAATGGTTGGCATTTCCAGACACACAAAGCATTTCTGCCCACGCAGGGGCTGTGTGGTGCTGGCAGTGAGAGGGCAGACCTGGGAGTGGCAATCCTGTGAAATGCATCTTCTCCTTGAAGGTGAGTAAAGGAATCACCCCAGAGTCACTGGGTGCAAGTGGTGAGCACGGGTGTCACCTTAAGGTAAATTATTTTCACTCTTGATGGAGTTAAACCCTCAATATTTGACTTTGTGTGAGGTTGTTTGGGTCAGTGAGGGGGGAGCTTGCTCGAGGTGCCATTGCTGCTTCTCATGGTACAAAATGCACATTGAAGTTCATTCCCTTTCAGTCCTGAGTGTGGGAGAGCACTGGAGGAAGAACTGACCGTGCCTCAAACGGGGGAAGCTGTTGGCAAAGCCTCCCTCGGGTGATGTGGATGGACTCGGGCAGGGCAGGTGCTGCTGGTACCAACCTTTCAGCAGATCCTTCCTCCTGCTGCCTGTGCAGAGCCTGATTTTATCTGGGACTCCTTGTTCCCTTATCAGAAAATTCCTGGCCAGTGTCAGTTCAAAGCTGCCTCTGCATTGAGGGGGTGTTTGACACTCCTGGCCTGGGGCCCTTGAGCCGCTGGGCCCTGGGAGGGCTTTGGGGAAAAGTGGGGAAAATTTCCTTTAGAAATCAACTCCAATACTTACAGAGAATTGGCAGCACTGGGAATGCTTTGTCCCTAAATCTCAGGAACGTTGTGGGCAGTGGCACAGGTGTCCCTGGGTGTGTGAAGTGTGTGCTCTGGGCTCTCGTATTCCACTACTCCTTGCAATCCTCGGTATCTATAGCATGAGTGGCCTTAGTGAGTTTGTTGAAGTGCACATTTTTTTTTTTCTTTTCAAAAGTAAATTTTAAGATGAAAAAGATATATACTATATAAATATATAGAGATATTTAGAAACTTGGTTTGTGGTGCACAAGTTCAGTGTTGGATCGCTAAATACTCGTCGCAGGTACCATATGTGTAACTTTTCTTTTCTGTATATTCCTTTCTGGGAAGCAATGTTGCCATGGTAACTACAACTTTACAATTTCTTTACTACTTAATGATGTGAATGAATTCTACATTTTATTGAATATTACCGGGTTCAGTACTATTTTTATACTTTATTGAACTACAGGGGATTTTAATTTAATAGCATTAAAAAAAGAAAAAGAAAAAATGTTGCTTGAACTGTATAACTGTATAAATTGAACTAATTACACAAAGCCACCTCTAAACCAGAATCTCCACCTGTAGTGCCACATCCATTTATATAAAAGTATCTTGCTCATTACCAGACCCTGCAGCCCCTCCCTGTTGTGTCAGGACAGTTTCCTACCCCACCTCCCCTGCCATCCTTTGTGCCCACGGAGCCATCTCTGTTTGTAACCAGCATTGTGATATTCTGTAACTGTATTGCTCAAATGAAATATTGACCTAATAAATAGAGTGTTCCTGCAGCCTGGAGTACCTGCAGTGAATTGGTTACAGCCTCCCTCCCTCAGTGCCTGTCCTGGCCAGGAGAAGGTGAAATTCCTGCCTTTGGGGTCAATCCTTATGGATGGGGCTTGTGTGGGGTAAATCCTAATGGATGGGGCTTGTGTGGGGTCAATCCTTATGGATGGGGCTTTGGGGTGAATCCTTATGGATGGGGCTTGTGTGGGGTCAATCCTTATGGATGGGGCTTTGGGGTGAATCCTTATGGATGGGGCTTGTGTTGGTACGTGTGCAATGTGGGCAGGGGGAGGGGGGAGCCTGGGGTTCTTGCAAGATGTGGATCCTGCCCAGATCCTTCCCTATTCTTGGGGTTTTCCCCCAAAGTAGCCATGGGAACACAAATTCTCTCCTGCAAGTGTGCACTGGCAGCACCAAACATCTCCTGTGGCTGCCTGAGCACAGAGTGGGTGAAATGTCAGCATTTCTGGGGGTTTTTATTTTTAAACCATCAGGTTTGTGTGACCTGCAGCTGCCCAGCTGTGCAGAGGCCTCCCCTGGTCTCACAGGGTGAGATTTCCATTTTTGCAGGCCCTGGAACACTCCCCTGGCTCACGAGGGTGACCCCAGAGGCCCTGGGGCTGAGGCAGGGCCAGCTCTGCTCCTGCAGCCTGAATTCCAGCATGGAAATGGATATCCCTGGGTGTCTGTGTGCTCCTGCAGCTTTCTCAATTCTTCCCCAGGGAAAGGACAACTAGGGAGTGCTGGATCCAGGCTGCCAAGAAAAAGCCAACAACAGCAGACTGCAAATAATTCTGTTTGCTGGTGTAAAGGAAGAATTAACAGCAGCAACCCTGAAACTTCTGCCCAGGTGAAGGGAAAACTGAGGTATGAATGAGGCTGTTCTGCTGATTTTTGGGGAGAGCAAGTCCAGCTGCCTCTGCCATCTTCTAAAATCCAGCAGGAAAGGCAATCCCTGTAACATTGCACCCTGTAGTTTACTCCAAAGATTTTCTGATCCTACTTGGAGCAGGAACCCCTGAAGGTGAAATCTTTCCTCTTTGTCACCTGGGCAGGAAACTGAGGTTATTTCTGGCAGAGCTCAGTTTTCCTTGAGAGCTCTCCTGTCACTTCTAAGTCACCTCAAGTCCTACTGGAAAAACTGTGGGATAATCCAAGTCCTGAGCAGCCTCGCTGAGTTCCCTCTTAAACCAGTGTGACACTTTGAGGGCAGACAGCCTTTTCCTAAGGCAGCCACAGCCATTCCTGCATTGGGGTTACCTTCAGCTGGAGGCATTATTCTGCTATCCAGGGAAAATCCCTCAAGATCCAGGTCAGCACCACACCAGTGTGTGCCCTGCTGCCTGGGAGGGAGAGACACCACAGCCTCCCACAGCCTCTCAAGGCAGGGCAGCACAGGCAGGAATCCCAGGCCCCTGGCCAGCTGTGGGGATGGGATCCACATTTAGAAAGGAAATCTGTTGTCCTGATTCTGAGAATGAGCCCCCAAAAGGAATCCAGGAGAGTTTTTCTTGCTTGGGTTCAGAGGTGAGGGCAGGAACTGAGCCCCCACCCAGCTGTCCCATTCCAGCACGTGGCAGTGAAGGACCTTTGCTGGTCAGACTGAAAGATTTTAGGGGTAATTATTGATATTTCTGGTGTTTCCTCAAAGCCTGGATTGAACAATGAATCAAATGTGGCCAACCCCAAAGCCCAGCCAGAGTCATCCAGAATCCCAGAACCATTCAGGTTGGAAAAACCTTTGGGACCATCAAGCCCAGTGGTGATCCAGCCCTGCAAGTCCCTGCAAGAGGAGCTTCTGCCCCAGCTGGGAAAGGAGCAGCTGCTGCTTCCTCCAGAAGCTGCTCTGCCATGGCTGGGGTTTGTACAAGAGGAATGATGCACTGAAGGTAGGTCTGGTACTTTCAGAGCCTTAACCCAGTCTTGGTGCTGATGCACAACTCTAAGGGATCTCCAGGATCATCATAAATAAGATCCCATGGTCTAAAAGGACAGAATTTTCATTGGGCTGGAGCTTGTTGCTATGACACTGCAAGTATTGCAGGACTTTGTGGTTCTGGGAAACCATGGAGACAGTCTGGATTCCCTGCTCTTGTTCAGGTGAGGATGCTGCACTGATTAATTCCCATTGACCTCTCTGATGGTGTCTGTGAACCTGAAAAACCCCTTAGAGTAACTGGAAGGCAGAACAGACCCTGGTGAGCCCAGTGTGTCCCCTGCAGGTTGACTGGGTGGGTTCTGCATCCCGCAGCTGCCTTGGCTGCAGGAGCACGGGGAGCAGCAGAGCTGGGGCTGCTCTGGGCCCGGCCCCGCGCTCTGGGCACGGAGCAGTCCCAGCCCCAGGGGTGCTCTCGCATTTCAATGGCGTGGATTTGGGGCGTTTCAGGCGCTGTGTGTCCCTGGTGCCTCTCTCCCCACAGGAATTGGCTGCCTGGTGTTCCCCAGCCGGCCGGGGAGGATCGCCCGGAGCCGCCGGGGCACCGAGGGACTCCGGCTCAGCCTCCCGGATCGCGTTGTCCGGCAGCTCCTGGGGTTTGACTTTCAGTTTCCCTGTTTATATTTAAAGGGCTCCCTCTGAGCTGTTACAGACCAGATTGGACATTTCAGAGGTAAAGAGAGAGAGACTGGGGAGAAAAGAGATGAGAAACGAGCTGGTTCTGAGCGCCTGAGAACTCCCACAGGACATGTGGCTGTGTTTTAGCAGCTTGAAAATGGGTTTGTGTGGGACAGAGCCTCCTTCCCGGGCACCTGTTTGTGCAGGGCCGGTGCTGTCAGCAGCTGCCTCTCCTGTCTCATTCCACCTTTGGGGTGTGCGGGGACTGGGAGGCACAAACACCCCTGCTACAGGTCAGGCTGCATTTTTGCTGGGGAAGACAAACGTGTGGCTGGGCTGGGGTGGGCCCAGAGCAAACCACAACTATGCTGGAGCATCCAGATTGCAAGGCAGGGACACCCTAATTACCAGAGCTGCCAACAAAGCCATGGCTCATTCCTCACTCCCTCCCTCCCTGCTGGAGCAGCTCCTCCAGCTGCTGCTCTCCCTGTCTGGGACAGCAGCTCAGCCTGCCCAGCTCCTCCAGCACTGATCCCATCTGCACCTGCTCATCCTTCTGTAAAAATGCCAGGTGTAAAGGCTCTGTGTGAGCAGGAAAGGTTCCCCCTGCTCAGTGGCAGTGGCTGTGTGAGTGCTCACCTGTCCCTGAGCAGGAAAATGTTCCCCCTGTTTGGTGACAGTGTGACAGTGGCTGTGTGAGTGCTCACCTGTCCCTGTGCTGGGCGGTGACCTTGAGGTGTTGGTGGTGACAGTCTCTCTTACCTGGCTGTTCTTGAAGGTACAACTGGTTTAAAGCTGCTTCAGAGTCTTTCCTGTGAGTCCTGGAACGGACTCGGGCGTTCTGAAGGACAGCAGGATTGCTTAAACGGAAAAGAAGGAACATAAAGGCACACTCAGAGGTGTTAACGTGACCGAGCAGCGCGGGCTGACTCACGCTTGGGCAGCAGCTCTTGCTTAACCTCGGCCCCGTGGGGCGGCAGCCGCAATGAGCTGATGGGCGACGGTCCCGTCCGTGTGCTGGGTTTGTCCCTGCAGGGGACGGGGGCTCCGTGCCGTGCTGGCAGTGTCGCTGCCAGTGCCACCCGTGTGGCCGGGCTGTCCCTGCTCGCTGGGTGCCACCCTGCCCAAGCAGCTCCCCGAGCGTCCCAAGCCCGGCCCTTTCCCGGCCCAGGGCATTGCCATTGCGGGGCTCTGCGGGAGCTGCTCGGTGCCCGCGCTCCGGCGGGGCGCGGGTGGGTGCGCGCTGCCGCTGGATGTCACTGTCGCCGTGTGGCACCGGGAGCGGCGGGGGTGGCGCTGGGCAGGCTGGGCCGGGGAGCCGCGCATCCCTTGGGCAGCCCCTGGGGCTGAAGAACATTCCCGATGCCAGAGGTCACGCTGCTCGGATTTTTATTTTTTAACCAAACGCTTGCAGGGTCTCCGAGAGCGCAGCAGCCGGATTCCTTTCCCGGAGCGGGACGCGAGGCTGATTTCTGCAGCTTTCAGCCGCCCACAGGAGCCAGGAGAGGGCAGAGGATTCTCGGTTCTGGCTCGAAGTTGAGAATTGGAGCTGGGATTTCCACCGAGTGTAAAAACAGAGCTGGGACCAGAGCTTAAATTCAGATGTGTGTGGCTTTTGAGTTTATTAGTTTTATTACGAAATAATATTAATACCAATTTAAATTTTTAATTAAAAAAGCCTCGAATCCCAAATGTTGAGCAAAGGGGATGGAGATCCCTCATTTTAGTTGACTGATGAGCAAGGCTGGTGGATAGCTGCCCGCTGGCCTCTCTCCTTAACAAAACCCCCAAAATTATCAAATGACCGTGCTGACAACCTCAATCCCTTCAAATTAAATATTGATTCTGCATTTTTCTGTTGACTCATGCGAATCAGGAGGCGTTTCCAAGGCATCTCTTTCTGCTGCTCGGTGCCGGTGCCCCCCGGAGCCTGTTGTTTGTGCTCGAGCAGGGAGCCGAAAATGCTGATTTTTTCTCCCACTTGTCTTGCATAACAAAAGGCATTTGTCACCCGTTACATAACGGCGGGTTTGTCACTGCTCCCGCCCGGCCCAGCCTCGCTGGGGGCTCCTCAGCACCCCCGGGTCCCCACGGGCTGATCCTGGCCCAGCTCCTGGCCCAGCCTTTATTCCCTCTTGTATGGGAAGATGGGGAGCTGTGGGGTTTGCTGGTGGCTTTTTAGGCAGCAAAAGGATTGGGAAGGTGTTTGGAGGATTTTTTTTTTTGCTTTTTAATACTCATTTGAGGGGCAATGATGTTTGTCCTTAGCTGAGGGGCTGTCCCAGGCCTGTAGGAAGGGCTGTGCTGGAATGGAGCTGCATTTCCTCTCTGCAGCCCCCCCAGGTTTCAGGGAGCATCTGTCACCAGCTGCCTCCCCGGGCTGCCAGCTGCTCCTTTAGTGCCTCTCCTCTAATCTCTGCTACCAGCAGGAATTCGGGTTCGGGTTTTTCTTTACAGTAGGTTTGATTCCCTCCTGGATGGAATATCTTCTTGGAGCCTCAGGAAGAAATAAATGGTTTTGTTTCCCCAGGAACTAAAAGCAAAAGCTGGCTGGCTTCCCCTTTGTCTCTAGCTGGAGGAGAGAGCTGTTTACCTGTGGCCTCACACTTTTTTGTGGTCTTATCACTTCCAGCTATCAAATGACCACAGCTCCCTTCTAAACATGAAGCAGGCAAATGTCCCAGTAACCCAACAAAGTAGTCCTTGTTAGTCCCTGTTTTCAGGTTTCCTCAAAACAGTTTCTTGGTTGACACTTTTTTCTTTTTTTTTTTCCTGTGTCTATCTGATTCTAATTATTTTTTAATGAACTCCCTCAAGTCCATGTTTCTTGTGGACCTTTGAACTTCCTGGTGCAGCCAGCCTTTGCTCAGGAGATGTTTATGGTTGGCTCTGAGTTAACCCTTTGGAGTTTGTGTTCTCAGGGAGCTTGATGTCCTTTCCTGCCCTTGTACAGGTGATGCTCAGGCACAGAGACCACAGGCTGTGACTGATCTTGTGACCTGTTTCAAAGTTTAATTCCTATAGAATCAGATAAAGCTATGGATCAGATTGGATCTGTAAAGCTTGACTGGAAGCATGGGATGAGCAAACAGCTCTGAAGACTGTAAACATCACTCAGCCACCCAGAGCAGCAGGGAAAGTACTGCTGATAAACAGATTTCTCAGTAACAGGCTTCTCCTTAGACATGGATCAAGCCACAGATGCTGCAGGTATGGTCATCCCCTTAAATCAGCACAGCAGGAACACCTTTTGGGGATTAAATTTCCCATTTTCTCATCCATTTGCTTGTTCTTGATGTGCTTTTACAGACTGTGCAGTTGCTTTGTGTCCATCTTGAGAAGAGGGAGACAAATTCCCCCCCCAAGAGCAGAAGGCAGGATGTGGATTGTGCATGTGAGTACAAACTTCATCCTCCTCCTCCTCCTTCTGCTGCCCAGGTCTGGCTTGGGAGTGTGACCACTGACAGACCCTTTGCACAAAAATAAACTTTCATTCTGATGGGGAAAAAACCTTTTGTTCTGATGGGGAACAGGGACCTTGGGCTGCACCTTGGGTGTTCTTAGGGAGCTGGCTGGAGCTGAGACCTCAATTCCATCCCAATGTAATGGGAATTCAGGGTTATCTCCTTCACAGGTGATGGTGAAAGCCAACAGCAGTGAGATTTTTCTCCTGCATGACATCTCTCAGTAAACTGTCCTTGCCAGGGAGAAGCCTGGAAAGGCTTGGAGTTGAAGGGATTTTGTTTTGGAAGTTTACTTGCAGGCTTTCACAAAGAGAACTGCCCTGTGCTGCTGCCATGGGCTGACCAGTCAGACAAGTGCAATTGTTGTGTCCCTGGGACAATTGGTGCAATTGCTGCAGCTGTGACTCAGCTGTGCTCCTGTGCCAGGTCGCTTCTGGCACCCTCAGTCATCCCCAGCTGCACAAAGGCCTCTCTCTGTCTCTCTCTCTCTGAGGTCTCTCTGGCCTGGAGCTGCTCCTGGCAGAGTTGGGATGATTTTGCTCAGGAATTCCTCTGGTGGTGCTGAGCTCCAGCTGAGCCCCATGCCCACAGCAGGAATCACCTTGGGAAGGCACCTATGGGTGGGTTTGAAACAAAGGCAGGTTCTTGATCTCAGGCTGTCTTAGGGAAGTTTGGCTTTTACCCATGGCTGGATTCAATAATGACAAAAATCCATGAAGACAAGCCCTCCCCCTTAAGATGTCTGTGGCATTTTGCCTCCTGTGTTTTCTTCCTCCCCCTTGTCTGGATTTTGCTGTCAGCTCTGCATGTAGGAGCCTTTCACAGGCAGGTGCTGAGCAGATGCAAAGGGAATTTCTTGCTAACCTTGCAGTGAGGTTTGCTTGGCCCACCTGAGGAACATTACAATTGTTTGATTCAGATTAGGATTTTAGTGTTAGGTGCTGCTTTACACAAGATAAGCTCTGCAGAGGGAAGCAGAGGTGATAGCTGAGAGTGTAGCTGTGCTGCCTCAGCCTGGCTGTTGTGAGGACTCTGTTAGAAGTGGTTTGGGTGCAGGGGGTGTTGAAAATGCAGCTGGTTTCTCAATGCCTGTTCCCTACCACCCTCTCGCTGTGCCTGCTGCCTGCAGTTGTGTCACCTGTCCCCACTGTGACAGGCAGCTCCTCTCCTCCTCACCTGCAGAGACTGGAGCAAGGAGCAGCCAGCTGATGTCCTCACCTCTCCAGTCAAGGTGCCAAAGGGCAGCAGGCTCCTGGCTGGTCAGAGCCAGGAGAAATGCAGCCTCTCCAGCACAAGCTTTCCTCCTGCATTAGCAGCCAGATTAAAGCCCTTTAGGAGCTCCAGGGACAGGAGCTGGATGTTAGCACAGGCATAACCCATATTTGCATGGCCGTATCTGTGTCCTTGTGAGATTATAGCCCACATGGCATGTGACTGCAGCGTGGAATGGCTCTCCTGGCTTATCATGTGTACACTTGGCTCTGCAGAGGCCTGAGAGGGCCTTGAGTTCCCCTTGCAAACCCAAGGCTTTGTTCTCCCTTTCAGTGCTGGCTGCACTCGGAGCTCAGCCAAAGCCAGGGATGTGCAAGTGGGAGGCACAGATGGACTTCTCTGGCCAGCCTTCATCTGAGGAGCTTGCTGGATTTAGAAGTTGTCCATCACCCTAGTTCACTCCTGAGAGATCAGGCATGAGAGAAGCCTGTGGCTGTGTCCTTCCTCCTCCTCTGGGAGACAACACTGATTTCTCCTGGGAAGCCTCTCTGCTGGAAAGTGGAATAAGACAGACCACATCTCTGGAAATCTATCACATTATCCTGCCTACCTACAACAGGAATGCTTTGAAAGGATGTTCTAATTGGCTGGGGAAAATCAGAGTACAAACAGATTATGTCTCTCCTGTTTCTCCCCATGAAGGAAAGGAGCCCAAGTGCCAGTCAAACACACTGTACTGAAACAGTGCACCTCAGGGAAAACTCATCCCCTGACAGCTCTCCTGTGAATATTAATTTCTCTATTTGAGTGTCTTCATCTTCCAGGAGCTGTGCAAGTGCAAACATTAACCAACTCCTCTGGTGCAGCAGCTCTTGCAGTGCAGAGCAGGCATGGAGCCAAAAAGGAAGCAGTTGTGAAGATGTTGTGTGTCTGCTGCTGGCTGTTATTTGCTGCTTTGGGCAGATTTACCATGATTACCATGTGTGATGTGATGAATCTGGTGTATGTGATATATGCAGGCATTTGATATGGTATTTATGTACTGATAGGTCACAGGAAGGAGAGCTGATAACACAGATAAATGTACAGGTATTCTGCATTGTACTTAAACCAGCTGCCTGTACATGTGGTTTAGTTAAACATCAACCCCAAACACTGCTGCCAGATGCACTGCAGTGCAATGCTAAACAGGAATTGTAATGGGGAATGTTTTCCAGCAATCTGTCCTTACCAGGAGGGTGGTGAATGCTCCATTTGATGGAATGATTAATGATACTCAGCCACTGCTCCGACTGTAGGGGTGGAGGCTTTGCTAATTCCATCTGGAAATTCCTTTCCTGGAGCTGAAGGGTGATGAAGATGATCTTCTCCCTGCAGCTGGGTGCCTATTGGCTCCACTTACCAAATCTTGTGTCAGGGGAAGGGATCTGAAAGAGAATTTGGGCCAGTTTTTGTTTCTGTGTGGCATCATTAGAGGCATCTGAACCGCCAGAGAAGTTCCTTTCTGGTATCTGCAGGGAGTTGCTCATTTAACCACTTGTTTGCAATTAATGTGGTCTAAACACAAGTGGGATTGGTGACCAGTGGTGTGGGGAAACCAGAAACACATCTGCATCTCTTTTCTCCACCTCTGGCAGAATCAGGTGTGTTCCAAGTGTTCCCAGACTGGGAGACACAGGCAGCCCAAAGGGATAAGTGACCAACCTCTGGTGCTGGTACTCCTTCTCAAGAGTTGTATTTTCAGGTATTCCTGCACTATTTTAGTCCTCCAGATGTTTGTCTCCAACTTCTCAGCCAGCTGTTTGTGAGCTGATTGTTGGTGTTTGCCAATGTCCTATCACTTTTATAGCTGCCTGAAGTCCTCAGGAACTGAAAGAGCATTATCAGCTTCCTCCACACTTCTTCAACTTGCAGTCTGTGAGAAACAGGATAGTTAGAGGCTTTTGTTTTTATCATGCTTTGTAAGTTTTTAGGGGTTTATGCAAATTAAAATAGCACCTAAGGGATGGGCTCATTAACATCTCATCTCAAATTATTAATGAGATGTTAATGAGCCCATCCCTTAGGTGCTACTTATAAAATCAAATCTGTAACAAGTTAGGTATCTCTCTGAACTGAAAATAATTTGACTTCTTTTGTTAATCTTTTGGATGATGAAATATGAACTCTCTAGGTGATACTAGTCTTGGTCACTTCCTCTCCCCAGTGACTCAGAGAAGCCTGGAAAATGATGAGCCTGGTACACATCTCCCAGCTGGTGCTGCCTGGGGAATGGGGCAGGGGACAGCATGTCCCCTCTCTGAGCCATGGCACCCCCAGTTTCACAGCCCTTTTGGTGGCAGAGCTCTCAGTTCTGTATCTCCTTTGCAGGATTTTGGTGTCTGTCCCAGCCATGTTCTTTGTTTGTTTTTGGGTTTTGTGCCCTGGGGTTCCAAGGGCAGTGAAGCTCAGGCTGGTGGCAGCATTCAGCTCTTGTTCCTGTGCTGCCACTGCTGCCCTTTGCGTGCTCACCCTGCCTCTCCTCTCACTGCTGTGCTCCCCCCCAGTGCCCCGAGCCTGACCCTCATGCACAAAGGGTGCTCTGCTTGGAGTGCTGCTAAACTCCCACTGAACGCTGACTTCAGTTCATGGGTTTTCCAGAGGAAGTCAAGTTATGGTTTTCCTTGTATTTTGGCTTTATTCAAAGGAAAAAGCAAGGAAGTTCCCCTCCAGTCTGTCAGGAGAAGTGGCTTCATTTCTCTTTCTTAAAGCTTTGAGCAGCCTGTTATTCTTAAAATAAACCAAAAAAAGGGCAGTCTTCTTTATGGTCTCTTGTATGGTGGTGCAGGGGAGTAGCTGTAGTGAAACAGGCTGTGCTGAGATTGGCAGGAGGAAAAAAAAGCAGAGCATGGATTTTATTTCTGTGATGTTCTGATGCCCTCCTACCAGGCTGGAAATGCTGAACGTGAGCCTTTGTCTGGCATATGGGGATTTGGAGAACTGTTGCTAATTACAGCACTTGTGCTATCTTGCTTAAATGGCTTAAATAATATATTAAGTGCCTTTATGATCTCCCACAACATGCTGGAATGCACGGAAGTGCATATTCTGCTGTTTATAGCTTATGGCAGGAGTAACTTAGAGAATATTAATCTGCCCCAAAAATGGGGTTTGACAATTTATTGCTTGTGTAACTCCCCATGGGGTCTCTAGATGCTCAGATTCCGTTGTGCAGGGTGTTATTCATGAATTTCCATCTTGGAAGGTGAAGTTTAATCAAAAGGAAAGGCACTTGGATGGCTGTAGGGATGACAGGGAAGGGTCATGGCACACTGCTGGTCAAGCATTGTGGAGTTAGTTTCATGGCAAAGGTAAAAAGTGTGGAGGAGACCACAGGAAGTCTCATTCTAACTTATTTAAGGGATATTCTCATTATTTTCATTAATATCTAATTTGAAATTAGAAACATGTTACTAAGCATCATATCTAGAAGTGGGAGTGTTCCAGGGCCTAGATTAGCACTTACCCAGAAAAAGAAAGGTATTATGTCTGCTCAGGAATCTTTTTTTTACCCCTTTTCATGTTTTTATTTAGCAAAAATTCTGTTAGTCATCTGTTTCCACCCAGATTCCCGTGTCTCTTGCTTATAAATCTCCAATCTCTATTTCTGCTGTTGTACCTAATGTTTGGAGAAAATGTGAGAAGAGCGTGCTGTGAATGTCTGGTGTGAGGAATAACTGTGGAGCAGCTGAGCAGTGCTAGCCAAGGGCTCCAAGAACCTGGGAGGGCACATGCTGAGGGGGAACACAAATCACAAAGTGACAACAATGAAAAGATTGGCACATTCTGACCCTTAATCTGGTTTAGTTTGATATAGCTCTCTGTAAAATCACAAGTTCTGTTAGAATACGCTACTAATTAGCAATATTTCACCTATCTGAAATTAACAGGCTCTGCAGAATAGGAATAAAGAGGTATTTTTGTCTGGTTTATCTTGCTAGTAGCTTGAAAACAGGGAGGTGAGAAACTTGTGTCAAATCTTGAAGTATAATTTTGCAATTAAAAGACTGAGGAGAAAGTGTGATCTGAAGACCTTCAGTTTCCTCACCGTGCCATAAAATTAACAGCTCTCTTCATTCTCATTCTGTTTAATATTCCTGCAGAGAAGGAAGCAGAAAGAACTCCCTGGGCTGGCTGCAGGGGAATGGAGGAGCTGTTACTTAGGCAATAACAGGGCACAGCTGGGAGGGGTTTGGGCTGGCATTAACTGGGTAATGCCTGCACAATGCTCTGGATGTTAGAATGTGATTTATATCTAAAGCTAAAAACAGAGAGAGGCTCTCTGGGACACAGGAAACTGTTTGCAAGCACCTCCTGATTGGCTTCCCAGAAATTTTCAAGGTCATACATGCACCAGCTTGCAGGGATGCACAGCTGGCACCTCAGCACTAAAGCCAGAGAATCTCAACTCAAAGGCTGTTAGTGAAATGTGTGGGTAAAAAAGAAGGATAAATTGAAACTACCTGAAAGTGGAAGAAACAGCTGGGAAGTGATAAGAGAAAGCAAAATGAGTGAAGAAACTCTTGCCCATCCTTGTGGTGTCCAAGTGCTTTATAAAAACTTCAAATTGCTCCTTCCTTGAATATACCAATTTTCTTTTTCAAACTGTGACAATCTGGCAACCTTCATCTACCCTGAACTTGTCTTCTATTGCTAAGAATCTACTCAAGACTCTGCTCCATACTCCAGGCCTAAATTTTATTCCAATTGCTGGGTCAAAAGCTCTTCTGGGAGTACCTGGACTTTTACCCAGAGGCTGAGTGAGTACCAAAGGCTTTTATGGATCAATTAACCATACATTTTAGAAAATAAATATGCATGCAAATACTTAATAAGGTAGGCAAAATTCTGATTAACCCCTAATGCTTTACCTTGCTGCATGTGCACAATCAGTCCACAAGAGTGGCAAAGCAAAATGTTGTCAGAACTGCATGTCCAGAAGTGATCTCTCATGTTTGGGTTTGGGAATCCTCTGGAACACAGGGACAGGCACCGAGTGTTCAGCTGAAATGACAGGAAAACAACCTGGTTGTCAATGTCCTGCAGGGGCTCTCTGCTGGATTCAGGGGTGGGGTGGCTTGAGCAGATGGCAACTCCTCAGACTGTTTGAGTTGCCTTCTTGGCTTGATCAAACAGTGTTTCATTGGCTCTGATTACAGGCATGATGCCATCTTAGATAATGCCTCTTGATAAAGGACTTTAAGGTCCTTAATTACTATTATTAGCCATTTGACACCATAAAATAGAGGTCTGCTGTTTTAATGCCTGTTTCACCCCTGTCTGCAGGGTGTCTGGAGTCTTTACCAAAAACAGGGAGGTGGAACTTTTAGAACCTGATCAGAGGTAATGTGTGCATGCCAGCAGAAAAATGTGTGTGTGTGCACATTTGGATGTGCCATTGTCCAGAGCTCTTTCACTCTGTGTTGGGAGAGCACTGAACTGAGACATCAGCCTTTGGCAGGGGCACCAAGGCTGGCAGGTTGCTCTGTTTGGGGATGTCCTTTGTTCAATGTTTGAATCGTGTGAAACCTTAATTACCAAATAAGAAGCTTTGGCCTTCCCTTGCAAGTTCTGAAGCAGAATTAAGGCAAGTGCCAGGATGTGCCAAATGACACAACAGCTCTGGCTCCGTGGCTTTTGTTTCGCTCTGCTGCCCTGCTGTTTTGAGATGCGCTTCCCACTGGATCAGCTGCTGGCAAAATGTTCCCCAAGTTGGTCTGTGTTTGATGCTTTGGTGTTGCTTTCTCTGTACACAACAATCAAAGTGCTGCAGTGCTGGGGACGCTGTGAGCAGCAGCCTTTGAGCTGAGAAGAAAGCAGCCCTTTCTTTGCAGGGGAGAGGTGCCCTGTGGTGCATCCCTGACCGCTGTGTGCTGTGCTCTGAGGGCCACACAAACTCCTCCTTCCACCAGGCAATCTGGGCCTTCCCAGAGCAGAGTCAACATGAGTCACTTCTTGCAAAGCCACTCCTTTCATTTGATCTTCTGGTATTAATTATTTGCACTTCCTCCTGTCACAACGCTGGTGTTTTTTACTGCCCTGGATGGAACTGCAGAGAAATCCTTTACCTCCATTCCAACACCACAGTGGTTTCTGTCTACAAGGGAGCACAGAACTGCTTTTACCAAATACATTTCTTCTCCCATTGTTTCCTGATGACAGATACTACTCTTAATCTACACAGAGACAACACTTTGAAATGGGAGATCTCTATTTCCCTCAATTGTTGGTACGTTGATAAATCATAGCATGTCTCATTTTCTGAATGACACGTGTCTGGATTGCAGTCTGCCTCTTTTTTGTCACAGTTTTTCAGTGCTAACAACAGTCTTGCCAAAGCTCATCTGTTCCCTTAGTGTGCACTCCAGCAGGCTGATTAATTCTGTCACACTTTTCCTGTATAAGGCATAATCAAACAGGTTGATAGAAAAGCGGGAAGGACGTGATGTTTTTATCAATATCCAAGGCATTACACTTAACTCCTGACTGCCATTAGCTGTGGCACCCTGTTACTCCTGGGTTGGAGGAGCAGCAGCAAAGTCTGCCAGGAAGGAAGAGTTTGTCACTGTTCTTTGTGGGCCTCAAGTGTGATCGTGCCATCCTTCCACGCACAGGGAAGCCTTGCTTAGGAGAATATCAAGAGTGGAGGGTGCCTTATGGTGTTTTCTTCTCTGTCTCTCAAAGGCAACTGCAGGAAAAGTGGGGGACCACTTACCAACAAACCTTAAAATAGCTGTGAACGTGTGTGACGTGCCTCACTTTCCTGGGCTGTGGAGATCCTACTATTAATAACAGGAGTGAAATTATGGATTGAGCAGTGATGTGAGCAGCGCTTCTGAGCAGCTTTAAACCTGTCACGGGCTCCCTGAACACAAACAGCCAGGGCTCGGTGGCTCAGCAGAAACATTCATTAATTCTCTCCTAAAGGGGTGGCAGAACTAAACAGAGGTAGCCCACAGGTCAGATGAGGTCTGAGGGATGCTCCCACTTCCCTTGCTGCCCTTTCCAGAGCCTGGGCAGTGCCATCCAACCCCTGTTCCTGTACCTGCCACAACCTGATGTACAGGTCTGGCGTTTGGCATGTGTGGGTGTGCAGAGCAGGGCTGTCACTCCCGCCTGTGCAGCAGTGCCTGTCACCCCCACACTGAGCTGTCACCAGAGCTCAGCCCTCTGGGACAGAGGGACGCTGTTCTCTCCCCGTCCCCGCCCTGCTTGGAGCTCACCAGGAAAAAGGAGGGGATGAGATGGCTGAAGCGGAGCTCACCAAGAAAAAGGAGGGGATGAGGCGGCTGCTGCTGCTGCCGGGAACCAGCAGGGGATGATGCCAGGGCAAGGGCCTGGCTGCTGGGACAGGGGGGTGGAGATGGGCAGCTGCTCCAAAAAGTCATGGCAGTACTGGGAAGAGGGGATCTCTAGGGCAGGTGTGAAAAGAGAAGTGCCCTCAAACTGGAAATGAGAGAAAAAATCCCAATCATCTCACTCTGAGAGTCCCCTGGCTACACCACGCTGCAGCCCTGGTGAGCACTGCCCTCATTAGCATGTCCCTTCAACAAGGGGGGGTGGGTGACTTTAATTTCATTTTTAAATACTTTTAATAAATGACATTTTTCATTTTCCCCTGCAGTATTCCACTACAAAGCTCATACTGGCAATAGTGTGGGAGTACAGCCTACATGACAACAGTAGGAGGGACCTGGTAAGAATCTGCTCCTTTTATTTCCCCCTGAGTTCATATAAATCTGTCACCCTCTGCTACCACCCTAAGCCACTTGTTTCCTAGAAAATGTGGGATGTGATAGAAGTTTCACTTTGAATATTGTTCTGTTGTTCTCTGAGGAAGCCTTTTGTATTTCCTCTCTCTCTGATAACATCAGAATCAGGCTGGCAGATGATGATTCGGGGTATTTTTCTCATTCACCAGTTCACTGTAATTAGATATGAAGCCATTTAGCCCTGACCACGGCAGACCTGATTGAATCCTCATATTGCATCTTGATCTCTCTCCCACTTCCTACTCTTCTCAAATATTTGGGATGTGCCCTGCCACACTCCTGTCAGAGCTGTCTGAAGTAGGAAGGGGTAAAATTGTCCTGTGTTTGTCCAGTGCCAGGAAAAGTCCTTACAAAAATAACAATATCCAGGGTGGGGAGACAGGTACTGGGGCAAGAGGCACAGATTGAGAGCCCAGCAACAAAGTTGCATGTTTGGCTTCTGTTTTAGTGAATATGAATCAGGAAATCCTAAGGCCTTACAGTGCTATTCTCAGAAGTGTTTTTGAGCCCCTGCAGCAGTTCCTCTGCTGTTTGGCTCATCCCTTCTGAGTTCAGGCCTTCCCAGTGCAGCTCCAAGCCCCCTCTCCTTGCAGTGCCTGCTGTGGCCTGAGCTGGAGCCAGGGCTGTGGATTTTCCCTGTTCCTCAGCCCTGGACTGCAGCAGCCTGGCAGAGCCCCACAGCTGCTGTGCTGCCAGGCTCCTGCTGCTCCTGTGCAGCTGTAAATACCTGCTTTGCCTCAGATCCTTGACAGCGATGCAGAGACACTTAAAGATATTTGCTAAGTGCTCGTGAATTAGTTTTTGATTAGCGAATAATTAAATAAATTCCAGCAATCCAAAGGACACGTGCCCAGTTCCATTTGCATACGTAGCACTTCTCTGTGACAAGAGAGGAGCTCCATTCATCCAGTGCAAGTCTAAATTCGCTGTATCTTAATTTGATTTACCTTTGACACAGCATTTAAATAGCAGCAGCATTTAATCTTGTGCTCCCCAATACGGCTTCAGCAAAAACTTACTGCCAGATCCAACCCAGGGTTAGCACACACAGCCTTATCTCTGGGTTCTTGCTTCAGTGCCTTTGAGAACATGCTTAATTTAATCTGAACAAAGGCACTGCCATCGGGAGCTCCAGCCTGGCTCTCCAATCCAGGGGATCTTTGTGATTAAATTTGGTGCAGGCCACCGTGTGTACAATGGATCCAGTAAATGATTTTGAAGTGCTCTTCAAACAGAATTCTGCTGGTTCTTGGACACTGTCTGTACCTCTGGGACATGAGGGATGCTGCTGTAGTTGGGTTTTTCCTCAAGTGTCACACCTTTTCTTTGGAAAGGGGTCTGGGTTTTTTGGTCAATAGGAAGTGTTAGCCATTATTAAGAACCATCACTCCATCCCTTTTCCTTCCCACAGTGGAAGGAACCTCTCCCAGAGGGTTCTGCTTCCTCATTGCACCAAATGCCCAGTCAGCTGTTTGTGACTGTAACCTGGTGGCAGGATCTGATTTGTAATTATAATTTCAGTCATTCATTTTTTTCATGATTTAGCTGTCATTAAACCCCCCATACTGCCTGAGAGGGGGGTTTGTGTGAACTGTAAGTAGAGGTTCTGTCTTGACATCACAGATAAAAATGGAATAATTCTGCAAACTGTGGCTGCAGAGGCATTGGGTCAGAGTTGTCCTGGCAGGGTCCCTCAGTGCTCGGTGTAGACAAAACAGGCCTGGCAGTGTCCTGTGATCTCTGGTGAGCCCTGGTGCTCAGGGGCTGGCTGTTGCTCTCTAGTAAGAGCCTGAGGATAAACAGCCATGGAGAAATTGGCCTGAAAAGCAGCAGGAATTGGTGTGGAGCTGCCCTACCCCAGCACTGGAGCTGCTTCCTGCTCTAATTGCTTTCTCTAACTGCTCTGCCAGCTCGGGGCTGGCTGGGTCCCAGTGCTGCTCCTTCCAGGCAAAATGGGACTTGGTCATTATCTTTGTAATTCAGAGGAGAAACCAAAACATTAAAATATTATTACTGGACCTAAGGTCACACAGGAACACGACAGAGAAGTCAGCAATTAAACCCCATCTCCTCAGCTGAGAGTTAATGCTTTAAGAAAGGGATCCATCACAACCAGAGCATGGCTGTAGGGATGCCATGGAATATTTCTTTTAAGCACAAGATAAAACAGATTTCTTCAGCTGTTTCTGGTATTGCCAACTTAGGCTTTTGATTGACATGTTGCCATGTTTGTTGAATTCACTCTCAGATGTTTTAAAGATGTATTTTGTATCTAAACTGAAAGCTGCTCGGTGAGGAACTATGTTGAGAAGAGATATGTAAAGGTAGGGTAGGAATAAGAGGATGTATATATGTATCAAGGCAGCTTATATCCTCTCATTCCTCTGCTGCCTTTACATTTACCTTTGCTCTTTAAAGGATAAATACATAATCAGTGGCTGATGAGTGAAGCATATTTCCACCAATTAAATTTATATTTTTAAAAATCACCTAAGTTCTCTCCCTCATCCTCATGAGAGAGGTAAAAGGTCCCTTTATGGCAGATTTTATGCTTGAAAATGATAAGGTTTTTTTGATATGCCACAAATCTAAGATAAAAAAAGAATTCAGAAAAGATACAAGGAGCCTTTATGGAGCTTATTTCATTTGTAGTGTGTTTGCACTTGGATTACATGAGGAGAAATTTGGCCTTGGAGCCTGTGTCTCTGTAAGCAGCATTCCTGGCTTTGCATATCAGATATGAAATTTGTTTGGAATGTTTGCTATAAAAATACCTACGCATGAACTTACATCAGCGAGAAAGCAACTCCGGCTTGACCTTTCTGCAGCTCGATGTGGCAAGATCACTCCGTGCAGAAACAGTAACTGAGGGAATGACTTGCAACTGGTGTTTTCACAGGCTTTGTTTCAGGGCAGGAACAATCCTTGGAACAAGCTGCCCTTAGAAATCAGTGTTTTCTTTCAAACTCCTTATTTTCTGCTCGGGAGTGACCCAGGGTAGGTTACCAGGCTTAATGTTGTAACAAAGCCATTTGGGAAATCCTCCCATTCTGTGTCAGTCCTGGGCTGAATACTAAAAGCAAACATGCTGGAGAACAGCAAAGGGCAGGGGTGGTTTTGATCCTTTTACAATTCAGCCCGTGTTTCTGTTTCAGACAGTGAAAAGACATTTTAATGGAACAGGAACCTCCTACTGTCACCCCATGCCTGCAGCCCTGCGACTTAGAGGACTTTTTGAGGAGAACCACCGTGCCCTGAGAGGTTTGAGGGGGCTGAGGGGCTGCTCCCCCTGAGAGCTTTGAGGGGCTGATCCCCTATTATTTTTGGGGGGGTTGAGGAGCTGATTCCCTGTGTGGTTTGAGGGCAGTGAGGGGATGATTCCTGTGAGGTTTTGGGGTGCTGAGGGGCTGATCCCCTGTGAGGATCCGAGGGGATTGAGGGGCCGTTCCCTGGCGGTTTGAGAGGGCTGAGGGCTGATCACCTGTGAGGTTTGAGGGGGCTGAGGGCTGATCCCCTGTGAAGCTCCGAGGGGACTGAGGGGGCTGTTCCCTGCGCACTTTGAGGGTGCTGCGACTCTCACCCTCCCACTAGGGCTGTTCCGCCGGCGGCCCCATCGCACCGCAGCCTTTCTCCTCTCGCCGCTTGCACGCTACGGGAAGCGCTGACAGCTTTCGCAAGCGACACCTTCCGAAGCGCCTGTGCCGGGCCACAGCCAAGTCGTTCCTCGTCACACCTCCTTCCTCTGCGGCCGCGGAGCCAACCCGGAGCCGAGGAGGCACCGGCGCGGCCGCAGCGCTGCAGAGCCCCGACCATCGCAGCCGCCGCTGCTGCGGCTCCCCCTCAGCCGCCCCTGAGGGGACGCGCGACGGCGCCGCCGGGCGGGCGGGCGGGAGTGGGGGGCTCGGCGTTGGCCAATCACAGCCCCGCCCCGGCCTCCGCGCGCCCCACGTGACGCGGCGCGCGCGCCCCACGTGACCCGCGATGGAGGCTGCGGCGGCGGCGGCGGGGCGGGCGCGCGGCCGCCACCTCCTCCTCCCCCCGCCCCCCCCGGGCGGCCCCGCCCCCCCTCCCCGTCGGTAGCGGCTCCGGCGGGCGCCGCCGCGGCCATGGACTGAGCGGCACCATGGGCGCCAAGGAGTCCCGCATCGGCTTCCTCGGCTACGACGAGGCCCTGCGGAGGGGTGAGGGAGGCGGCGGCGGGGACGGGAGGCTGGGTGGAGGTTGGCGGGGAGGGGTGCGGGGGCCCCGCGCTGCCCCCCGCCAGCGGGCGGTGAGGCGGCACCTCCATGACGGACCCCGCGCGGAGGCACTCGCGCCGTTCGGGGGCTCTTTCCCCGCTGCCTTCGCCCCTCCGCCCCGCCGTTTATTTATTTATCTCATCTATTTATTTATTTATCTCTCTCCCCTTCTTTAAGGCGGCCCCGGCAGGGCCCGGTGCCGTGCCCTCCCCGCCGCCCCTCGGCCCGGCCTCCGCCTGTGGCCGGCCGGCGTGAGGCGGGCAGCGCCGGGCTCCCGGTGTGGCGGGGCTGTCACCCGGCTCCCGGCCCTCCCGCTCCTCGTGTTTACCTCCCCGTGCTCGGGGATCACGCAGCTGCGGCTCCGCATGGCAAGATGGATGTGGCGTGCGTGGCCCGGGCTCGGTGTCGCCGCTTTAGCCCGGTTTAGGGTCCTCCCGGAGGATTTAAAGAGCAACTAGCGAAGGGAAAACATAAACAAGCTGAACGGGGAACGCTCGCAGCTGCGGGGCTCCAAGGCGACGGCAAGCTACACCCTGGGAGCTCCCTGGCTCTGGAAGCGATAGCCAAGTCCAAGGACAAAGAGGGACAGGAATTGTCAGCAGTAAATGCTGTGCAGGCAGGACAGGTGTCGGTAATTGTTGCCCTGTTGTGCGTTCCCGTGATGCAGCGCAGGTAAAGCAGCTCACCTGTTTGATATTTAAAGCCCTGATAAAATTCATAAGCTCGAGCCAGTCTATGGCTGCCCTTTTTATTCCTGCTCGCATGTGAGAGGCATGTCAGGAGTGATAAGGGAGAACTGGGAGGAACCGCTGGGTGTTAACTGAAAAAGAAACAAATTGACGTGAAATGGGGTTTTTGTTAAATATTTTCTTTTTTTTTTTTTTTTTTTTTTTTTTTCTGGTGGAGCCTCTGAGGGATGCCATGTCAGATAGGAAATGGAGCAACGTAGTGTCAAGCAGGAGAAACAAACGTATGATTCAAAGTCACTTGTTACAGATTTTAAACATAACAGCCCTGAAGGATTTTCACTGCTAGTGAAAGTATGGGAAGTCTTTGAGAGCTCTGGTGCACGTATTTTTGGAAGAGCTGGAGTTATAAATGCAGCTTGGTAGAGGTGTGAAGTTAAATATATCAGGGAGCGTTTGAAATAAGCTGTTTGGTGGAGAATACAGTCATTTGGTCACAATGTATATTCCAGGGTTCCTAAATAAGAAAAAACAAGTGTTTTGAGTTTTAAAGTTAGATTTAAACTCTTACATTGCTTCAAAATCAAGGCAGTTGTTCTTGATGCTTCATAATTAATAAGATTGATTTCTTCTTAATAAGAACTTATTTCTGTGCAGTGAATATAATACTTTTCTTTGTTACTTTTTGGATGTTTTTCTTCTCTATATGAGACCTTCAATACTGTTTTTCTGTAGGAAACCAGGAAGGTTGTTTTAGGCACTCTGTTATAAATTGATGTTTTGCTAAATAACTATGTTGTTTACTTAACCAGTGAATCACTGTATGTATAAAACAGGCCAGTTATCAAAACATTATTTGTTAGACCATTCCTACTTCCACAGAACCTTGCTGGTACTTGTGGCATTTCTGTGGACACAAGCAGAGATAATGGATGAACGTAAATGTTAAAAAAAGAAAATCAAATATATTTATCTCCAGTTAGATCCACCTTCTCTACCACTGTTTCCTGGTTCTTAAATGGTGAGAAAGTTTTGGATTAGGTGGTATTTGTACAGATTTTTCTGCTGGGAATTCGTTATGAGCAATCAGTACTGGTTACCTGTACTTGTGCTAATCATTCAGAATGCTATGATGGTATTTTTGAGTCACCAGTTTGAATTTCAGTTGTTCAGAATATCTGGGAAAAATGCTGCTTCTGTCAGCTTCAGAAAATAAGGCTGACTTTTCAGCAGCTTAATTTATTGCAATTCCATTTTGGTAGTAAGCAAAGGTTGTGAAGGTGAGGGGAGTTGTGGTTAAAGGCTCACAATATAAATAACTGTAGCTAAAATGTAACCTCTGCTCAAGGAGATGAAAGTGCCTGAGCTGCCTGGTGCTGATGGCCTGTTCCACCCTTGAACAGGAGACAGTCCTGCTGTTTTATTTTCCCCTTTTTCCTTGGCACAGGCAGCTGACAGTGCTGTGGTGACGTGGCCCTGAGGATGGGCACGCTGGAGTTGTCCTGTGTCCACCAGTGCAGGTCACAGGAGTGTCACCAGCCTCCCTGAGATCTGTCTGCCTTAGCTGCCTGCAGTGGAAAGCAGGATGCTATTTTAGACGTCTCTTTTTATGAATTTTGCCAATTGTGGTCATCTTATTTATAGTAGCCAGAGGCACAGAGTGGTGTTGCTGTGGAAAAGGTATGAGATGAGAAGTGAGGAGAGCTATTCCTGACCCCTCAGACCTCCTTCTGAGGATGGATTCTTTGTGAGGAGATGAAATCCTTGGGCAGGTCATTAGAGGTGAAGTCAGAAGTGCTTTGTTCCAAACTGAGCATAAAATTGTCAGTTATTTTATCAAACTGAATTTGTGGTGGCATGAACTGTTACTGTGGCTCTTGAGCTTGTTGTTTTTTTCTTAGCCAACAGCAATTTTCTGCTAAGGGCAGTGCTGCAAGTCAGCCAGTTCTTGTTTTGGTGGATTTTCCAATGTTTGTCCCTGATTTCCCACTCCTGTCCTATCGCTGTGTCCATCAGGCTGGCTGGGTGCTGTGGCCTTGCCAGGGAGATGGTGCTCAAAGTCTGCCTTGTCTTTTAGTTCTCCTGCTGCCAGTCTTGATATCCAATTCCTCAAACAGCTGTCTTTATAAAAACTTTATAAAATAAAGAATTTTATCACTCTTGTATTAGCTCCTGTATCAGCACAGCAGCTCCTGCACTGTCCTGTGTTGTACATGCAATATTTTAATAAGAGTTCTAGGAAAGAGATTCCTGTGTGATATTGGTGGCCAGTTTAACTCAGATCCCTATGGACTGTATTTTTCAGTGGCTGTTAATGTGTTTTGCTTCAGTAACTTTGAGAAGATAATTGTAGTCTGAGCATAAATTTATGGAGGTACTTGTGAATTAGGAAAATGTAGAATCTGCAGTCAAAGTTTGTGTGAATGCTGCTTAGAGCAGGTGTAATTCAGGCCATTTCCAGCTAAATTATCTATGCTAAATATTGAGTCAGGGAACCACTTAAAAGAAATGTTGGTGAATAATCATGGATCTGTCAAATTTGGGGCAGAGAGGAAGGCGGAGTTTTCCTTCTGCTCAGAGCAAGGTAAAATTTTTGTTTCATGAATGCACCACATCAGCATGGTCAGTGAGCATAGAATTTGGAGAAATGAGTGACTGCTGATAAATCCATTTAATTGTGTTTGGTCGTGTGCTCAGTGATCTCTGAGAAAAAGAGCAGAACGAAAGCACAGAAGCAGTGCTGGTGTTGGAAAATGTACATGCAGCTGAAATGCCAGCTAACAGCGAGGCAGAACTTGCAGGTGTATCAATTGCACAGGTTTTGCCTCTGGAGAGTTCATGGCATGGTGCTTTTTAGGGCAGTTTTCTTCCCTGGTTGTGTCTCTGAGATGGCATCAACTGGAGAACACCAAAGTAACAAAAACCCCCATAACCCACGAGGAGCTCGGTGAGTGTGTGCAGTAATGAGTAATGTGTGATGGGCAGGGGATAAATCTTGCTAATGACCTTTTGTGTCTTGATTGAATGTGAAAAATAGCTGCATTTGTTTTATTTAAATCAAGGCAAATATATCTGGTGTCTGATCATTAACATCCTCCAGCGTTCAGATGTCATAAATGTGACAGGAGGATGATGGAAAACTTGTGCAAATATATCATCATCTAGTTGAGGCTGTCGGTCTCAGCCTGGTGACAAATCCATGGACTCAGCCCTTCAGCCCATGGAAAACTGCTTTTTATTACTCCAGATGATGAAATTAACTTTTTAAATCCCAGCCATCTTTTAGGAAAAACACTCAGGGAACCATTTTGGTAGTTTATTCTCTTCTTTCTGTATTCCATGAAGGAGAGTGTTCTGCTTTATTTTCTCTCATAGCTGAAAACCAGAGCTTGACCATGATAGGGAGGTGAAGGTTCTTTGGGATATGTTATTTTCTAAGGGTACAAACCCGTGCTTTTCTGAGCCTTCAGTTCCAGAGGCATGTGCTGAAAATGCCTAGAAGTCTCTGAGCCTTTTTTTTTTAGCTATCAGAATGAATAGAATCCACTGTGGAGACAGTCTGGATTCTACAGCAAGGCTTGTTCTGTCAGCCAGTATTTGATGGCTTCAGGGCTCTGTCGTATGATGAAAGCAGGTATGAATGCAGAGCTTCACACTTCCTGTTTATAGAGCTGCAGAGCTGCAAGTGGCTGCTCAAATTCACAGAGCAGTAATTATTTCACAACTCTGGCATTCAGTTGTGGTGCTTGTTTTGGGAGGGCACCTCAGCAGGCTCTGCTGAACATGTATTTCAAAGGCAGGAGTGACTGGGGGAATTCTGCTGAAACTTCCATGAACTGGTGAGAAGATGCTCCTTAGAATCACAGACTGGTTTGGGTTGGAAGGAACCTCAGAGAGCATCTTGTTCCACCCTCCTGCCATGGATGCCTTCCATGAGACCAGGTTGCTCCAACTGGCCTTGGACACTTCTCTGAGGAGCCTGTGCCAGGGCCTCACCACCTCACAGGGAGGAATTTTCCAAATATCCAATCTAACCCACTGTCTGTCAGTGTGAAGCCATTCCCCTTGTCCTGGCACTCCCTTGTGAAAAGTCTCTCCCTGTGTTTCCTGTCAGCTCCTTCAGGTACTGGGGGGCTGCAATTAGGTCACCCCAAATCTCTTCTCCAGGCTGAAGCATCCCAGTTCCCTCACCCTTTCCTCCCAGCAGAGCTGCTCCATCCCTCTGATCATCTGCACTGGCTCCAGCAGCTCCTTCTG